CACACAGGGGGTTCCCGCCCCAGCCTCCGGGGCTGGCTGGCTGGCGGGTCTGTGTTCTCGGGAGAGCGGGACACGCTCCCCATTCACAGTGTGGCTCCCAGTGGGGCCTGGAAAACCCATATTGAAAGAACAGACCAAGCTGGTGTGTCTCAGTGGATTGAGCACCAGCCTGTGAACCAAAGGGTCACCAGTTCGATTCCCGGTCAGGGCATGTGCCTGGGTTGCAAGCCAAGTCCCCAGCAGGGGGTGCATGAGAGGCAACTGCACATGGATGTTTCTCTCCCTTTCTCCCTCCTTTCCCCTCTGTCTGAAAATAAGTAAATAACAATTCTTAGAGAAACAGACTGTTCATCGAGCACGACGGGCATCTGAGCGACTGTCTTCACCTGTGAACAAACAACATCCAGCAACCTCTGCCCTCTAGGAAACCCCCTCACGATGTGGCAGCCAGGCCAGCTCCTGTTCCGTGGGGCCCGGGGGGGACCTCAGGAATCACGGGGCTCCTGGCGAAAGCACGGATGGGGTGCCAGGGGCCCGAAGCACTCTGGAGGGGTTCCCTGAGCGAGGGACGGTCCCAGCAAACCCCAGGACGCAGGAAGAACAGGGCCGACTTCCTGGGACTCTGAGGAGCAGCGGGAAGCCCGGAGAGGAGTGTCCTGACATGAAATGAGGAGCAGCAGCAGCACCGTCCCGACTCCCAGGCCCCTCGCTGGTCCCCAGGCAGCTCTGAGAGCGGATGAGAACTGCAGCACGGGACAGCGAAGATGCAGAAGAAAAGACAGCCTACGGCGTTTGAAATAGTTAAAAATAAATAGTTTAAAACAAATGAAAGGACCCTGGCTGGTGTAGCTCAGTGGATTGAGCTCAGGCTGTGAACCAAAGGGTCGCTGGTTCAATTCTCAGGGCACATGCCTGGGTTGTGGGCCAGGTCCCCAGTGGGGGCCATGTGAGAGGCAACCACACACCGATGTTTCTCTCCTTCTCCTTCTCCCTCCCTTCCCCTCTCTAAATAAATAAATAAATAAATAAATAAAATATTTTAAAAAATAAATTAAAGGGAATTCCTGTCTATTACAAATGTTAATATTCCACAGAGCCAGGAATTCAAATATTTGGTCAGATTGAATATCATAGCACATCTCCACCCCTGGCTTAAAAACGTGGTCACTATCCCTACAGAATTTTCTTTTGTCTCCGGCTAGAGCAGGTCTGCCTTGGACCGACTTGATTTTTTTTTCTGTGCAGAGAAAAAAAGCAGCACTGTCTCTGATCCACAAGGAAACCCACTGGCCTCTCTCAGTGACCAGTGGAAGCAGAGTCCAGACCAAGTCCCTTCCGTCCTCTCAGGCACCGGCCGCGGGCAGAGAGCTAGTCTGCTGTTGCTGTTCCTGGGGTGCTGTTGGGCCGGCAGCAGCCTGCTTGCTGGGACTTAGCGTCTCATCCCTCCCAGACTGTGCCACACGCCTCTGTGGGTAGCTCCCACATGAAACCCTCGACCCAGGTCCTTAGATTTTCAGAACAGTAAGGTTGATGTGAAAGGAATTTACCCAAGTACGAGAAACTACAGGACTTGCAGGGAGCAGAAAACAGAACAGTGAGAGAGAGGCCTGTAGAATTCCGAGTGTCGAACTCAGTTCTGCCAGCGGCCAAACCGTGAGTCCTGTTTTCAAGCAAGTTTTGCCTTGATTTTTGGAGCCGTGAGCAGCCCCTCCTGCCTCCCTCCCCTCCCATGCCCTGGACCACAAAAATTGTTACCTACCAACTTTCCACTTTCCACCTGCAGTCGGGTTGGTGACCGATTTTGCTGGGTTTGTCTCCTGCCCTTTCCACCAGGTCTCAGCGTAAGCTGAGGTGTCCCTCCTCCCAGGTTAGGCTCCGGCCTGGCAAGGGCACAGGCACTGGAGACCTGGGCCTGCTGTGGGCTTCCTTTGACCCAGGTCTGCACCGGGCAGCCACACTGAGCAGCCCGGCACTGCCACCTGGTGGCCTCCGGGACAGCGGGCTGCGGACCTGCCAGGTGGGCCATGGAGTCTGTCCCTCTCCAGGGGCCCCACTAACCCCTCCAGCAGCACAGGCCTCCGCTGGGTGCTCCCCAGCGGCGCCTGGGGGCAGAGACGGTGCAGCAGGCAGGGCTGCCGTGGGGCACTGTGGCAAGGTCGGGCCCTGGGTCGCCCGCCCGAGCCAGCTCAGCACCGCAGGCATCTGTCCACTCCCCACATGCTGTTCTGAATGCAGGTCTCTCCCTTGTAGAAAAACGCTTTCCAGAGATGAGGAGCTCCCAGGAACCACTAAGACCAGGGTGAAGGCCACAGGTAGGCATCTGAGAAGCACCTCAGGACAGAGACGGGGGTTGTGGCCAGGTGGCCAGGGCCTCTGTCTTTGTGGGATATGTCCAGTCACGACATGCACAAAGCACACGCACAGGCTACGGGGAGCCCCCTGTCCCAGAAACCTCACCCCAAGGTGCTGGCCAGCAGGCATCCTCTGTCCAAGCAACACAGCCCAAGGGTGACGTTGCAGCTCCCCTGTGCTCCTGGCCTTCTGGCTCCCTCAACAGCCCAACTGGTCCAAGGACACAGCAGCCACCTCCTCTGGGAGCACCTTCCCATGCTTCAGAGGGGACTGTGGCTGGCAGGGGAAACAGGGGCAGTCACAGGGCTGTGTCTCTGGCTGCAGGCCCTCCAGCCTCTCCCCAGAGGCAGGTGTGCCAGCACTGAGGTGGAGGTCTAGGGGTAGAGGCCAGCGTGGCCACACACACAGCCCCAGCTCCCAAGCTCATGTCCCTCCCCGCCCAGCATCTGGCTCTCCGTGGCCCACAGAGACTGTGTAACTAGCTCCTCTTAACTGTGCAGTCAAACCCAATAATCCCTTACACGTCTCCCAGGCGTGTTCCTGATTGAAACTCTGCAGAGGATCCAAGCGACCTTTCTACCGTGTATGGGAGTGTTTGATGGGCTAAACTGCAGATTTTCATGTCCCGGCCCCTCGACGCAGTAGGTGTGTCTGGGATGGGCCCCGGGAGATCACCTATATGACAAGTGCTTGCATAATCCTGACACTGGGGACCATCAACAGACAGAGTGGTCCCCCAAGGACGCCAGGCTTGCAAAATGTCTCATGGGACAATTTCTCTGCTTGCAAATCAGACTGGCAGCTGCCTGTCCCAGGCCCAGTGGGACCAGCACCACCCTGGGTGGCCCAAGCAGCAGACTCAGAGAATTGCCCCCACTGAGGGAGAGGTCCAGCGGCACTGCAGGGCAGTGTGCGGGTCCAGACGCAGCCAGGCCTCGGGAGAGCCAGCTGTGCCCTGCAGCGCCTCTCAGATCGCCGGATGGTTTCGATGCTGTTGTCCCGTGTGGGAAGCAGGAACTAACTCTAGACAGAACTGCAGCTTTCCCAGCAGCACCAAGGGTGGCTGGCGGTGAGTGTCCCTCAGATCTGTCCAAGTGCCGCAATGCTGCCTTCCCCGGGTGAGGAGTTGGGGCTGAGTCACCTAGAAAATCTGCCCAAGTCACCAGAGCCTGAGTCAGCCGCAGGACCTCCAAATGAGGCAGGGTTCAAGGCCTGGAGGAAAACCAGGTGCAAGAACGTATAGCTGAAACTGAGGAAAGACATCACAAATCTGGAGAACTTCCCTGGGAACCTTGAGAGATGAGGACCTCATAGAAAATTCCAGATACACACAAATTTGTATCACTTCAAACAGTGGAAAACTGAATCCCCAATTAAACAAGAAAGCCTTTGAAAAAGAAAGAAAATACTCCTCATTTATACGACTGCAACAGTTAATTTTGTGTCAGCTTGACGGGGTCACAAGGGGCCCAGGCTCCCGTGTGTCATCGCTGGGTGTCTTGTGATTTGTACGTGAGCGTTCGGTGATCCAAATGCTCAGTGGAGCCGGTGGAGGGCAGGAGGGCCTCACCCAACCCATTGGAGGCCAGGAGGAACCCGAGTGAGGGTGCGTCTGAGCAGGGACAGCAGTCCCCTGGTCCTCAGACACGGGGCCCCACACGGCAGCTGTCCCAGGTCACAGCCTTCAGGCCCCACCCGCAGCCTCCGCCTCCAGCTCTCTGGCTTGCAGGCGGCAGCTCACAATCAAGAGTCAATTCCTCAGCACAAACGTGTCTGTACTGTCAGTCCCATGGCTCCAGAGAACACGGGCGCAGTGAACACGGACAGTCTGCGGCTCCCCCATGACCTTGTAGGAGCAACGTGGGGGAGGCCTCACTATTGAGTGGAGTGTCTGTGACTAAGGACCCAACAGATGTTTGTAGAACCAATTTCTAAACAGATACCCACCACTAGCAGCTTTAAATTTTTTAACTAGTTTTTTTTTTAGAGGGGAAGGGAAGGAGAAAGGGAAACATCTGTGTGTGGCTGCCTCTTGCACGCTCCCTACTGGGGACCTGACCCACAACCGAGGCACATGCCTGGTTGGGAATTGAACAGGCGAACCTTGGTTCGCAGGCTGGCGCTCAATCCACTGAACCACGCCAGCCAGGGCAATTTTAATTGGTTCTTAATGAGATCAACAGTAAAATCTGTTAGGCCACAGAGCAAACCCTAACCCCTAGGTTATATTATATGATTTGACTTGCTCAACACTAAGAAAACTAGTCCAAAATTGTATGTAGTAGAATTAAAATGTATGTAATACATCTAAAAAAACTACTTTAGCTCTATCAAAATATTTAGGTCTCAATTTTAACATTTCTAAACCTTAGGAAAATTATCCCAGATTTCTGGCATTTGAACCAGACCATTTGAAGGGCTAGTTTGCTTTTACAATTTGCTTCTATTTTGGTGATTTGAAGATGTGTCTACAAAACCGCCTCTACATTTTTTTTAAGTACTTATTTTTAGAGAGGGAAGGATCTATCGGTTGCCTCTCGCACGCCCCGACCGGGGACCTGACCCCAACCCAGGCATGTGCCGTGACCAGGAATCGAACCAGTGACCTTCTGGTTTGCAGGACAACATAACCCACTGAGCCACACCAGTCAGGGCAAAACTTCTTTTATTCATGTCCATTTAGTGACTTAACACAACCCAGACAGACTGCAGGTCAGACTGGACGGCACGAGCGCCCTCTTCGGAGACAGGCCATCTGCACTGACTGAAAAGGAAGCTTTTTCAGTTCAGTTTCCTGCTCATAAACACACAGAAAAATAAACATGGGCTGTTAGGGTTTTTTCATTCTTAAAAATGCAAAAATGGTCTGAAAGATAGAAAACCGTGGGAAGGATGAGGGAAGTGAAAGGAGAAAGAACTTCAACTTCCTGGCCCTGCCTGCTGAGAAAAGCCGAGCTGCAACAACAGGCCCGGTGGCTTCGGGACACAGGCGGCAGTGCCACGGCTCGGGTCTCAGTCCCTCCTCAGGGGCACGGTCTCCTCCCGGATGCCGTCCTTGGTCACGATGCAGACCTTGAGCGTGTCCCCGGTGTACACGTCCCTCTCAGCAGCAGAGATGAAGACGTCCTTCACGAGCCGCATGGCTCTGTCCAAGGTCAGAGGGACGTGCTCCACGTTCTGCATGTTCTTGAAGCCAACCTGGGGGGCAGGGGGTGCGGGTGAGGCATCACGTGACAGCAGGCAGGTGGGCCGAGCCCCATGCCCCCAGGGGTCTAAGAGCCCAGTCTCTCCCCACAAGGGGTTGTGGAGACAAAGCCCTGGCTCCCGAGAAGCACACGCCATGGGGGGCACGGCTACAGAGTGTGCCGCGGCTGGGGAGGAGGAGGGGCCATGACCAAACCCACCGGAAGGAAGGACACTCAGGTCGGGCTGACGGAGACACGTGAAGGGGTGAGACTGTGGCAGGTTGGGGGTGTGGAGACGGGACAGGCACCGTGCTCCCAGGATGTGGCGTGAGGGCCGGCAGGAGAGGAGGTGGGTGTGCCACGACCACGGCAGGGCCTGCGGGGACCCACTTCTGGGAGGCCAGGAGTCTGCAGGGCAGACTTCAGGACATGAACACGACACCCCTGCCGGACGCCGCGCAGGTCGCCCGGGGCCAGCAGGAACGGGCAAGGGGCGGGTTAGAAAGTATCGGTGGGGTTGGAATGTCGTTGGGAGAAAGGTGTTTTCACAGAACTCGGGTGAAAGGGGTCAGAGAGCAGAGACCCGTGGTCCTGACGACACAGGCGCAGCGAGGCTGAGGAGCCTGGGAGGTCAGAGGTCAGAGCGGGACGCCTGCCTGGTGCCCCCCCCACCAGCTGACAGAGAGGACTCCAGAGTGAGTGGGACGTCCCCACCCCTGGGGCGGGGCCCTTACCTGGTTGTCGAGCAGGGGCTGCAGCATGGCACTCGCTGACCCTCCAGCCTTGAAGGAGTCCCTCTGGTAGGACCCCACCGGGTCGAAGCTGTACACGGCCCCCTTCCCTGGGAAGGGGAAGCAGGGAAGACAGTGTCTGTGAGGCTGCACCCCAACCCGGATGCCACATGGCAGCGAAAGTCAACCCAGTCGCGGGGTGACACCGAATGCACCGCCGACTGGGCTGCAGCCCAGCCGACCCGCAGGGAGGAGCATGGCACTCGGGTGCCACCGGCCTCCCCGCGTCTCAAGACTCGTGGCCCTGACCTGCCCTGCCGAAGTTCAACAGTAGCTGTCACCAGTGTGGCCAACGCCTGAGTTTACTGGTCTGACATTCAATTCAGACCTAGTTTAAGTCAAAAAGGCACCAGACATGCTGTGCTGGGTCAGGCAAGCCCCTGGGTGGCTGAATGTAACGACCCAGGTCAAGGGTGGCCGATCTCTGCTGGCCGATTCCTCTCCTGACATTTCCTCTCAGTTCTCACCAGAGGCTCACAGCCTCCAGAGACACTGCACACACACGAGCCACGGCAGGTGAGAGATTGAAGCTCCCGGAGCCCGAGCGTGCCGGGAACAGCTGCGAGAGGGGACAGTGAAAAAAATGCCCGGGGGGACAGAAGGACGCCGGCCTGGAGCGAGGGGACTGAGGGAGCCTGGCCTCCTCCCGCCCTGCACTGTTCCCTCGAGGTCAGACTCCTCTCACGACGTCCTCACCCAGATGCTGTGGAGATTCCTCTCTACCACCAACCACTCGAAAGGGTGGGGCAGGCCTGTCCTGGGAGGTCACCTCTGGTCTTTGGAAGCAACCAAGCCAACACAAGTCGGACCTGGGAGAAGCACCAATCAGTGCACTAACAGCAGCACGAGGGAAGTCCCTGCTCTGACTCGGCTCGAAAGTCAGGGGAGTTTCAAGAACGTTCCAAAGACACTGGTGGAAACACATGCAATCCTTCTAAGGTGTCACCGTGTGAAACTTTTTGACATCAAAGACATTTGTTAATGGAACGTTGCGATCAGGTTGAGCAGTGAGGCTTGTTTGTGCGATCAAAGTGGTTACTGTTGACCTCTGAGCTCACGCATGACCCCGAGGAGAGAGTGGAGTGACTGGCTGCCTGACGGGCGCCACCTCACGCACTCCCCCTGCAGCTCCAGTGTCCTCGTCCCTTTCCTGGTCAGAAAGGACAAGCGGGGCGGGCCGGCCTCCAGGGCTCTGACCTCTGCACAGACACGCCCGCCTCGAGGAAGCGCCAGCCCCTCCTTTCCACGGAGCACCCACCTTCCTCATCCAGACCCCCGATGATGTTGTAGACGTAGTAGGGAAAGAAGCGCCGTGAGTAGAGGATCGTGGACAGCATCGCGGCGATGGCCCCCGTGGTCATGGCCTTGTTGTTGGAGTGCTTGTACATCTGCGATTTCCAACACAAACAGGTGTGAGAGGCGCGGCCAGAGCAACGGGCAGTCCCGTGAGGAGGAAGCACACGCGTCGGGAACAAAGGCGCCTGTTTCCTTCTTGACCAAACCGACGACTTCGCTGAGATAAAGCAACAACTGTCAGCCCCCTGTCACTCTGGGGTCTGTGCCCATGTGTGTGTGTGGGGGGCTTGCAGACCATTTCCATGCCACCCTGCCCTCAGGACATGGATGCCGGCCCAGGCTCGGACACATGCTCACGGGGCAGAGGCGCGGAGCCCGCTGTCAGCCCACCAGCTGTATCTGTATGCCAAGTGCGGCTGGGCCGCCCCTCTTATTCATCACACATGTCCCCGCCGGCTTTGGCAACAGCAGAACCGAGTCGCTGCAGCGACCACGTGGCCTGCAAAGCGAAACACGTTTCCTGTCGGGGCCTTCACGGAGTCTGCTGGCACGACCCAACCCAGGACAGGGCCTCTCTTCCCAACCCAGGGCGGGGCCACAGCCCCCCACTACAAAAGGACTCCAGGTCAGGGCGGTGGCCTTGCTCCTGGGCGCACCTGCAGCAGAGGACAGAGGTCTCCGAACCAGGGCCTCCACCAGTGATTTCCAGCCCTGCACCTGTGTCTCCTTCTGGACCCCGACTCACCTAACAGAGACCCCAGGAACAGCAGACAGAAAAGGGAATCGAGTCCCCATTTTGCCAGCGATGTAGCAAACACCTCCTTCAGGAAAGACGGGGCACTAAGTCGAACTGAGTGGTTCTTGTTTGATTTAACAAAACACTCTCCCTGTTGTGTCTATTTTTGGCCCGAGTTCCATTTGTAAAATATGCACCAGAAACCACACACACAGGTCAATACATGTCAGTCACTGACGCTTTCAAATATTAACAGCTGAGGAACAGGGAATGAAACTGTTTCTACACGTTCATAAAGCAAGTGCCAGGCAAGGGCACCCCCGCCCCAGCCCAGCGACCGGCACTGGCGCGGACGCCCCAGGCGGTCCTGCTCCTCGGCACAGGCTGCCCACCGTGGCTGCTGCTGCACTTTTCCCAGGTTCTGGACGGACTCACCCACCACTCAGACACCGGGACACACAGCCTACAAGGCCACACAGGAGGACTGAGGGCCGCGGGGCCGGGGACTGCAGGTTTCCCACCAGCCCCGGCGAGCCCCCCAAGGCCGCACTGCGGGAGAACCGCTGCCACTCTGGACGCCAATGATGGTGGCTGGGGCCCCACCCCTCCCGGGCCTGGGTGTCCTTCCTGGTTACTGCAAACACCTCACACAGTCCACACAATCCCAGCTGACTCTGGGAATCACAACAAGCAAACCTGCCTACTGAACAGAGGCCACAAACCCAGCCAGACCCGGTCGGTTTCACAGAGAGCGGGCCCCCGCTCTGGGGGATTCAGGCAGCGCCGGGGTCAGACCTGCGCAGTCCCTTCTTTCCGACACCGCCCCTCTCCCCTAGCCCACCTGCCTCTTGCCAGCCAAAGCCTGTGACGGGGAGATGACAGCCCCTGGCACGTGTCCTGTCTGTAGGGTGAACACCAGCCAACAGGGTCCCTACCAGGCTCCTATCGGAAGCTTGTCTTCTCGAGAGAAATCAGTGGGTTTTGTTTATCAGGGAAGAGAGTCTTCAGGAGAACCACTTGCCTGCAGAACCTTTCTAGTGGGGACTCGGACCTGTGGGTTCACCAGTTTGTGTCCTGGACTTGAAGGAGGAACAGGCCAGTGTCCTGAACTCACCTGGTGCTTCTCCGGCTGCTGAGTTGCAGCCGTGCTGCGTGCTTAAGGGTCTACTGAGTTACCAACTTCCAACACACACGTAAAAGGCATCTACCTTTAGTCTTGCTTCGATAATCTTCGTCAGGGTAAGACAGTCTCCATGGAAACCACTGCATCCAATGACCGTTTTATCTGTTCTGTGAAGAACACATTTCAGGAAACTGAGAGGGTCAGACAGTAAAGCCCAAACATCTGCTGGGCAATTTTAAATTTAAAACTCCTACCGCCAGTATTCACTGAGGGGGGGGGGGAGAGGTCTGTAATCTGATACCTACCTTCCAACACCAAATACACTGCAGAAGAACCAAACATTTAAAGAAGTGGTGAAACTAGGAATGGACTACGGAAAAACAGGGTGATTTTTAAAGAGCAATAATCCATGGCTGAGGGCAGCTAATTTAAAAATGCTACAACCCAACATTCACACAGAAAAGGTTCATATACTTAACTACATAAAAAATAAAACTGCTAGAGAGAAAAATACAAAGTTTTAAAGGAAAAACTAAAAAAACACATCTGCAGTCCACACAGTCGATGTCTGACTCCGTCTGCAACTGGCACCCCCAGGTGGAAACGCCGTGAGCACGGTGAGGGCCCATGGGCGCCACCCTGGCTGACCCGTGTGCGAGAGACGTGTGAGAACTTTTAGGACAGACCCTAAAAGTTCTCACAGGCAAAATCCTTATGCAACCAGGCGCACGGACAGGTTCCCACTAGATCAGCTGAGGTCGCGCATTGTGACCAGCACACACTGACCGGAGTCATGACGCTGCCCCCCTGAAACTGCGGTGGTGAAAGGGGGTAAAAGGTCACGTTCGATGAAACACAAGTCACCGTGAACATGTGAAAAGCGCCTCCATGTCACCTAGAAAGGCAAACCTCAGCAGGACGTGGTTTCGTGGCTTCCACCCCATCACACCGCCTGACGCCTCCACCTGTGCAGGTGGCCCTCTCAGGGGCAGTGGAAGGACACGTTGGTCTCACCTTGGAGAAGGGCCCTGGCAGAGTCCACTGAGAGTCCAAAAGCATGTCGCTGTCACTCCAGGGCTCTCAGGGAGGACGGGGGCCAGCCCCGAACCAGGACAGACAGAGCTCCCTTGTCTACTGACTCCTTGCAGCCCCACCAGACAGAACCTCATCGGTCCTTCCCTGCTGCAGTTCAGGGTTAACAGGCTCTTCGGACTAGTCTGGGAATTAACCACCATTTTAACTGTTCCCAAGAATCTTAAATACAAACCACTGCCACCCTGCGAAATGCATTTAGGTAACTTAGGCAAACAGTTATTTTCTTTCTGCACATAGGACTTTATTTTTATGTTTTAGAAACAAACGTAGCCAGCCCATTAAAACTGTGAGCCATGAGTATGATTACTCAGGACATGGCTAAATGTTTCAGGTCAAAAAGAAACTGGGCAGATTATAATGGGTTAATGTTTGGACAGAAAGATGTGGCAAAGTAATCATGTAAAATGCTAAGACCTTGGTGGTAGCATATGATTGCTCATTACCAGATTTTATTTTTGTTGTATATTTGAAATTTTTCAGGGTAAAATGTTAACTAAAAATATTTAGTTTATCAAAAGTTAGTAACCTAAAAGTTTGGATACCTCTTGGTACCCAAATATGGCAAATATCATGAAGACAGCATTGTCAATTATTAGGAAATGTTAACTTAGAAGACTGTTTCCTAACAAAAATGCAAACTAAGCTCCAAAACAGACAAACTAGGAACTCATGAAAATACATTGTTTGGAAGTTAAATCTCTTACAGCATTGAAGAATCACAAGGTACTGGGGAGATGTATCATTAGGAATTTTTACTTACAATTTGTAACATTTGGGGCTGTCTCGGCTGTGGATGGAAAAGCCTTCACTCAATCGAGTATCAGAAGCAACAATTGAAAAATCTTCTCCAGCAATTGCCAATATCGTACTGAGGAAAAAAAACAGAGAAAATGAATGAGTTCTTCCGGATGGTGAAGAAGCCTGCACCAGCGGAGGTGCGAGGGTCCGCCCCCAGCCACGGCGGGGAGCAAGTGCAGAGTCATGTACACTCTCCTATCATCGGTGTGCAATACATTATCTATTTAAAAAGACACACATGTTAATTAAGAAATGTTACTGCTAGAAACGCTAACCGTCACCTGAGCCTGTGGGGAAAACAGCCCCCACCGACTTGCTCCATGCAGGGTTGCCACAGACGTTCCCTTTGTAAAAAGAAAAAGCGGGGGTGTCTGCGAGCAGAGCAAGGCGCAGTGACATGAGGTGTGTCTGCACTGGGACCAAAACCAGCAGACGGAGCAAGAGCAGGAGTCAGGTAGAGGAGGAAAGGTCAGGGAAAGGAGCCCCAGCCACATGTCATCTGGAAAAACATCAAGAGCTCCCTAAAAACACTGCCCTACATCACAGGAAGGGTCCCTAGAAGGAGGGAACAGAAAAGCCACTGAGTTATCATTATCAAAAAACTAGCCCTGGCTGGTGTAGCTCAGTGGATTGAGCACAGGCCTGCAAACCAGAGGTTCAATTCCCAGTCAGGGCACATGCCTGGGTTGCAGTCCAGTTCCCAGCAGGGGACACACGAGAGGCAACCATACACTGATATTTCTCTTTCTCTCTCTTTCCCTTACCATCTAAAGATAAATAGATAAAATCTAAAATAAATAAATAAATAAACGCCAGCCTGGCTGGTGTGGTTCGGTGGATGGAGAGCTGGCCTGCGAACTAAAAAGCCCAGTTACATTTCCAGTCAGGGAACACCTGGGACGTGGGCCAGGTCTCTAGTGGGGGGCGCGCAGGGACAACCAATCAATGTTTCTCTTGCGCATCGCTGTTTCTCTCCCTTTCTCTTCTCTCAAAAAATAAAATCTTAAAAAAAGCAAACACCTACTTTGTGCGAGGCACTGATCTTACATAACAGCCGAAGGCCACAGCCCTGCCAGCGGGGCCAGGAGGAGACAGAGGCACGACACCCGTTACCCAAGCTCAGAGAGGAGGTTAGGGCACTGCACGTCTAGCACTCAGCAGACACCCAAACACCTGCTGAACAATGAATGAACAGAGAACAAAGTCTTTGCTTTGCGGTTGTATGATTTACGACGACAGTTTACTGAAGAGGCCGAGAGTTTGAAGTCCAAAAGCAGACCATACACCATCTCAGTCCGACTCTTCCCGTTTGCAGATCTGAGATGCTTGACTTCTCAGGGCCTAATGTCCTCATGCGTGCACCGGAGATCACACAGTAGCTGCCCTTTAGGGTGTGACAAGATCAAATGAGTTAATCATCGCGGTGCCTGAAACACAGCTGGTCCCCAGAGCAGCTCCGGTCACAGGCGTGGGAGGCAGCACCGTGCTGTCCCTGAGCACCTGGGTTCTGCACTTTTCTGAGAGCTGGCCTTGTCCCTCATAGAGCTCTGTGAGCTTGACAAATTAACCAAGTTCAAGTATCTGTGTCACAAGGTGACCTCAAGAGCTAACTGACACAATTCACATGCAGCGCCCAGGACGGTGTCTGAGAACAGAAGTGCTCAGGAAACTCCCGCCACCATTTCCAAGGAAGCGGGAAGTGCACACGGGTGAGGCAGGAAGTGCACACGGGTGCGGCAGGAACAGGCGGCAGCCCAGGCAGTACAGACCACCCAGGAAAGGAGATGGGTAACGGTTCATGTAAACCCTCCAGCAGCTTACAGAGGTGTCCCTTTGTGTGTGAGCAGGTGCAGGGACCCGACCGTAAACAAACCCCAGTGCCAAACTAGACTCCAGCATTTCAGTGAGAAACCATCAAGGCTACAGGAGCAAGAAGAAAAAAAGGCTCCCTCTACAAAGTGGAGTTTTAAGAAGGTTACTGTGACACTCACACAACCTGGGAATCAGGGCAGAAACACTTCCGGTAAGGACTGAAGCGAGAGGAGGGCAGTGGTGAGAAGAGGAAAAGTGGGTAAATCCTAACTAACAAACACCCAAAACGTACAAGTTTTCGTAACTACCAAAATGTGCTAGAAGCTGGAAGAGCCATTCACGAGATCCCAGACTTTAAACCTGGGTGAGCAGCCTGACGCCTGATTACAGGGAGTGCAAAGGAGGGACCGAGGGATCGTGAGCTGCGGTCTGTTTTAATGCCTTGAGGTGTGGGGAGAGCAGACCCTCCCAGCAGAAATGTTTTACCTAAGAAGCCAGAGTTGAGAGTCTCCTGAGAGGTGAAACTGGAGCAGCAGATTTGGGGACTTCCATTCAGGAATGAAATGTGTGGCACACCCGGGGCTAAGGGCTAGGAGTTCAATCAACGGTATAAAGACTTTACCTGGACCTGACGAAATGGGTCTAATGACTCGTCTAACCACGTCATTAGTTGTCACAGTAAGCGTTGGAAGGGAAAGTGAAAGTGAAAGCATCACTCAGGGCACAGAGCTAAGGATTTGAGTCTTGGCCCCACCCCAGGCGCTCCATTGTTACCAAGAGAAAAAAAGGTATCTTCTCAAATTCACAAAGGCTGGATTCTCCCCGCCCCACCCCAGGAGCTGAGGAAGAGCAGGGAGGGCATCTGCATTCAAAGTCTGCCCTTCTGCAGCTGAGAAGAGGCTGCAACGGAGCCTTCCACTTTTCTCCCAGCACTTCCAACACCTGCATCAGGGTTTCAGACCCTCATGCCAAGGGACCTGGTCATGTTCCCCACCAGTGTGCTCCCGTCGGGCGTGAACACTGTCAGCACAGTCTGGTTGGTAAATGTAACCACTGCCCCAGCCTACAGCTGCCCAGACTCCTACGGGCTTGGCAAAAGTCCGTTACATTTTTCCTGACAATGGCTTTAGTCGTGCTTAGTTGTCTAACTCCATCTGAACCAATTTTTAGATTGTATTGTGACAGATGCTGTATCGATGTGCATTAAAAAAAATCCAAACTAGTGAATTTTTGTGGATCCATTTTAAAGTTGAAGATGTATGGAAGTATGCAACATTTTTGGTGTATTATGCTTTATTATTCCAAAAAAGGTAAAAACGTAACTGAAACACACAAAAAAAGATCTATGCAGGGTATGGAGAAGGTGCTGTGACTGATTGAATGTGTCAAAAAGTGGTTTGCAAAATTTACTGGCACTATTGACAATTTGGCCAAATAATCCTTTGCTATGGGGCTGTCCCTGGCCTCTGTCCACCAGAAGACAATGGTGGGAGAGAGCCAACATACTCAAAGTATCCAAATCAATGAAGTTATTAGTGAAAATGAAAAATGTGTAAAAAACTAAATGGACTTTTTGGCCAACCCAATAGTCATCTTCCTACTAATGAGGAACTCAAATGTTTGAAAGGTTTGTTTAAGTAATAGCTAATAAACTCAGTAATCAATACATGTCAAAGCTATTGTTCATGGAACTGAAGGTGTGTGTGACCCACGCTGACTCCAGGAGACCATAAGCAGTTCCACCTTTGTGCCTCAGGAGGACTGCATGGCATTAAGATGTTATCTGAACCATTGTGCTCCAGGGTGGGATGCCCATGCCCAGGACACTGCTAAGACAATGACCCAGGGAACAGATTAAAGAATGCTACAGTTTTTTACCTGATTAGCCTTTTCCCTGAATTCCAATTCTCCTACACTCACTTTTCTTCTTATAAAAAGGGTGGGTTTTTGATGGAATGTTGAGACAGTCTGTTAGGGTGCAAACCCCACATCTCAGATCACCACCATCTGAAGAAAGCGACCATCGAGATTCAATCCCTGTCTCTGCCTATTGAGTCTGGGAGGTGATAGGCAGCAGGAATGCCGGCTTTTCCTGTTTCATTACAACCCCAATCCTTTCAATGGAGGTCAAGAAAAAGTACCACTTAAGATACAGCTGGTGTTCTTTTTAAAAAAAGAACTTGACTATAATATGCAAGAATGACGTTTTAAAAGGCCCCCTTCTGAGTATTCCCCCCCTGAACTTAAGTATGGCCAATTAATCCTGCCTTCCATCCAAATTAACAAAAACCATTGTTTGATTAGCCCTTTTAGCTACACACACAACTACGCATCTAACATCTAACAACGTGGACCGATCCACCCCCATTCTCACTCCCCACAGGATTCTGCACTCGCCGCCGCTGGAGCGGAGGCCGGGCTTCCGCGTCCACCTGCGGCCTCACTGCAAGCCTGGCTGTCCACGCCGCGATGCCAGCGACCCAGGAAGGCGCCGCCGAAGACCGCGGCGGGCGGGGCCCCCGCGGAAACAGAGGCCCCCGCGACCCCCGCGGGAGTGGGCAGGGACTGGACGGGGCGCAGCTGCCGGGACCTCACCCTCCGTTGAAAGCGTAAGGCGAGAAGCGCAGCTGCACGGGACCGGCGCTGTGCGGCTCCATCACCGGGTTTCGGCCGGGACCCCAAGACACGGTTGCACAAGACGACATCGCCGATACCACTGCTGTCTCACGGCGAGATGGCTGCCCAACCGGAAGTCGGAAGTTGCGCCACGTTCGGCTGCTTGGCGGCGGCCCTTCCCGTCGCTCCGGCGCGCACCCAGGCCTGGCTCCCGGAGGTCCGCGTCGCAGAGGTCCGGCCCCCCTACTCTAAAGCTGACGGGGATGTCACGGTTTTCTTCCTTAAGAAAACATTCGAATTCACTCTTAATGGACAGAATTTTAAAGTCTAACCATACAAAAAACTGGCAACACTGTGGAGCAAGGAAAAGTCGAATCGTCTATCGGAGTGTAAACGCAGCCGTATTTGGAAAGAGCACTGGCATCACCTGCCTCCGTTAAAGAGGTGCACACCTGAGTCCTCAGCAGTTAACTTCTAAGTATGCATTCCACCAGAAGGCATGTCCAAGAATGTTTACACAAAATTGTTCCTAATAACCCCAATCTGGAAATGAGCAAATGTTCATAAATTCAGGGATATGTCGCAGTGAGGACCATCAGCTGACGCCCGCTATGGGTGGGTCTTAGCTCAGAACACAGCATAATTTAGGAAGACAGTGAGTAGGAAGGGCCTGTTTCTCGATTTATAACAATGTGTTAACCTGTACACATTGTTAATCTGTACATGTGTGTACTAATTTCCTCATGTGAATATCATATATTACAATTTTTTTAAGTTATTTTTAAAACGGACGAAGAAACTCAGGCGGAAAGACAGGTAACTTGCCAAAGGTCACAAAGATTGTCGGTTTAGACATCAAAATCTGGCCTACCAGGAAACGACCAATCAGAAACGCTCTCACCAGGCGGCCCCGCCTCGGAACTCCAGAATAGCCCCGCCCCACCTTGCGATCCCGTACGCCGATTACCCAAGGCAACACAGGAAGTGACAGACGCCCGCACTTATCATGGTCGTCGCTGCAGCCAGGGCCCCTCCCTGAAGCCGAGCTCCGCACTGGCGGAAGTGACACCATAAACGCGCGCCAGGAGTTCATGAGGGGTCGCGGAGGGTCGCGGTGGCGGGCGCCGGGGCTGCCTGCCGTTTGAGTTGTTTTTCGCGGGTGGGAGTCGCCGGCGGCCGTGGCTCCAGGTAACAGCCGTTGTTGCTTTTTTTCTTGTCTGAGTCTGAGCGGCGAGGTCGGGGGAAAGGATGGGTGGAGGCCGGGGACGGGCAGGCCGCGCGGAGACGCTCCCCGCCGTCCCAGCCGCCCCGCCCGGCCTCCGTTGCGGTGGAAGCGAGTCCCGCCCGTCAGGCTAGGGGCCGCGGGGACCGGGCCCGGCGGCCGCGTGCCCGAGGCCAGGACGCCCGTCCAACCGCCGTCTCCTTCTCGGTGGTCTTGCATTTGCAGCACTTCTGTGGTTTGGGTGCAGCAACGTTCCAAAAGTAACTTTTCTCACATCTTCGACCCTTCCTGGAGCAGCGCCCTCATTTTTCTCTGTCGCCGGTGGTGCGGCGGTGGGTACCGGGATGTGTCGCCTGTGCAGCCCTTTGCCCTCTAGGCAGGGGTCGGCGCCCTCGTTCACTAGGGAATCGCCCGCGCCGCGGCCGCGCAAGTTGGAAGCGCGCGGGGGGGGGGGGGGGGGGGTTCGACTTCTAACTTGTGACTAACACCCCCAAGGCGCAAGGCCGAGGGAGACCGTCCGGGTGGGGGGCGGTGTTTACGCCGAAATCGGGTGGGAGTCGCGCTCCGCGTCCTGTGTGACCTCGTGATGTGCCCGGCACCTCCCGCGCACGGCTCCGACGGGACACACGGTCTTCGAGCGGAGGCGCTGGGTTCTTCTGCCTGACAGTTACTTCGGACGTGAGGCCGAGATGGAAGCAGTGATTTCGGGAAAGCCCGGGGTGCGGTCTCGTGGTGTTTCCGTGCTCTGAGGAGCCGAAGCTCTCCCAGCGTCTGATTAAACAGCAGCTCCACCAACGAGCACGCGGAAGTGTATGGGATCCACTGAAACGTTTATTGAACGGAACGCCCGAGACATCGCCGGTGCAACACTGATCCACCTAGCTGCGCGCCCGGAGCCGGCCTGTAGCGCCGTGTGTGCCGCGCGTACTGTTTCTGCTCAGGCACGAAGTTCACTCAGGGGTTTGTCTTCTCTGGGAACTTTTCCCCCCGAGTCTTTAGTGCTGACTGTGGCACCTGCATTTGGAACATCCCGAGAATTTAAATGGAATGCGTACCAAAACAAGCTGGTTCCGTTGCACTTTGCGTCGTCACAGGACACACGGAATGAATGCGATTCTGGCAGCACAGACAAAAGGGAGCGTGTCCGCTGCAGCTCTGTTCTTGGGTTTGGGGGGTGCGTGTAGCCATGACTGGTTATCAGACTGTCTGGCTGTCCATATTCTCACATTAAACTTCAAATTTCAGAGCAGCATCTCTTTCCAGGCAGAGGGAGGACGACCTGGAGGGCTGAGGGAGTGGCGCGGAGTCCCGTGGGGATGCCCTGGAGGAAGACTGGGTGCTGAGCGGCTCCCTAGCGAAGCGTGATTTGCCGGGAAGTGCGCGGCGCCATGGATCAGAACAGCAGCCTGCCGCCCTATGCCCAGGGCCTGGCCTCCCCCCAGGTAAGGAAAGCCTGCTGGTGAACGCTGATCTGTGTGCTTCAAGCCTCCAGTGTGTTGTTGAGAAGGGCCACCGGGCTTTGAGTAGGTCTGATGGTGGGGAGTTTGGGGAGTGCACTTGGAGGCAGAAATAGGTGTTTGTAAGAGCTTTTTGCCAAACTCGATGGTGTTCAGGTGAATGATAGGCTCTTTGATTTTGAAAGTGACTCTCACCAATTATTTTCTAGTTTCATTTTTTCCCTTTTATGTGTAAGGTCCCAGATAACTTTTCTAAGTTTTAAAGGATCTCTGTTGAGATGTAATTTACTCTCAGTAAAAACACCCATTTTAAGTGTATGTGTAACCCCCTGCGTATAAGCTTATAAATTAGGTACAGGAAGAGATGAACAACAGTAACTAATGAAATGGAATGATTGTGACAGTGCGGTAAGAGAAGTTATGAGACTGTGGTCGTTCTCAGGCCACAGAACAATTCTCACTGTGCTGCTCTTCCGGCGTGGAGATGCTGGGCAGAGGACTCCTGTTGGCCGCCCCCGCCCCCATCTGGGATGGAGCAGGGTGCGAGCTTCCATCATGCTCCTCAGAACTGCGCACAGTGTAACCTGGGGTGTTGGTTTCTTGAGTTTCCCACGTAATATGTTTGGGCCGTGGGGAACTGAACCCACAGGAAGCAGGAGTGGGGGTCCAGGGACAGCAGTGCTGAGTTCCCCCCACTCCCCTCCCCCCCGAGACACGTCCTGCAGGCGTTCTGCCCGTCTGTGGCTTACTGTTTATCATCTCAATGGTGCCTTTTGCAAAGTAGTTCACCTTTTCTGGTCTCTTTGTCACTGTTGCTTCATGGTTTGTGCTTCTGTATCCTGTCAGGAAATCTTCACCCACTCGAAGTCATAGGCGTTGCCCCTCATAGTCCTTGCTTTTATATATGTCTGTCATTCATTGTTACGTGCAGCATAAAGAAAGGCACTTGATGTAACCTGCAATTTTTATAGCCAGTACTTTTGCAGAAGTTAGAGAGAGATGCAGTGGAACGATGCCCAGACACAGGGCCACAGTGTAATGTGTCCTCCTCTCCTGTTCTTTCTGCCACCGTGCCAGGAAGACAGTGAGACATACACATCTTGTGCCTATTTGGTTTCGATGTTAGGAGGCGCACAGCTGTAACAAACTGTGCGGCCCCCACGGTCTCTGTGGGTCTCAGTGTCCGGGGAGGACTGGGCTGGGCGCCGGAGAACTGGGGTGGCGACCTTGACTGAGGTGCTGCCAAGACCTGCGGTCATGGGCAGCACAGCCGCCTGTCCTCTGGTTGGAGCTCCTGAGCTGCACGTAGGGAGCGGCCTGTGTGTCCCCTTTCCCAGAGGGCTGCAGTGAGACTGGGGGGGATCAGTAACTGTCACCCTGTCCACAGCGTTTAGGAGCTGATAGACAAGTAAATCGGTACTATTTTAGTAAGTCCATTGGATTTTGGTGGTAGAAACTTTGGGGAGCAGCGGTCGGCCTTTTTGACAGCACTCAGACAATCAGCACTGACGCTTCAGTGTTTCCTGCGTGCCTGCCTCCGTGTCAGGTGCCGCGCGCAGAGCTCTCTGGGGGGCCATGAAATTCCTCCCAGCGGAGGTGGGGTGCAGCCCAGATAGTATGTAGGATCAGAGTGTGAACAAGGACGTGTGGTCACTCTGGTGCACTCCCCGACTCTCGTAATCTTAGGGCATTATTATCCCCTAAGTAGGTCTGAAGTTAAGCAACTTCCTCAGACTCGTGTGGTAGTGAAAGAGTGGGATTTCACACCCAAGTTCAATTCCAAACCCTTACCTACTGTGTGCTGGTAACGAAGAAAGGGATGTGTTTAAGAACAGTAAATTTCTCCCTTCTCATGCCTGATGACCCATTTATACCAAAAGGTACCTGTCTTCCCACACCTCATCTGTTCTGTCACCAGGCAGATCCCGCACACGCTGAGAGCCAGCCAGCCTAACTCCCCATTTCCCTGACTTTCCACAGGGCGCCATGACTCCCGGGATCCCCATCTTCAGTCCGATGATGCCGTACGGCACAGGGCTGACTCCACAGCCCATTCAGAACACCAACAGTCTGTCCATCCTGGAGGAACAGCAGCGGCAGCAGCAGCAGCAACAGCAGCAACAGCAGCAGCCACCACAGCCACCCCCTCAGCCGGCCACAGTGACCACAGTGACGGCTGCGGTTCAGCAGTCAGCGACCCAGCAGGCGACTCAGGGGCCCTCAGGACAGACGCCACAGCTCTACCACTCACAGACTCTTACGACGGCACCCTTGCCGGGCACCACGCCCCTGTACCCCTCGCCCATGACCCCCATGACCCCCATCACGCCTGCCACGCCGGCCTCAGAGAGCTCTGGGATCGTGCCACAGCTGCAGTGAGTACCCGCGTTGTGTCCTCTTGCCGCCCTGGAGGGTCCCTGGGAGCCGTGCCGCCGACCTTGTTTTCAGAGGGATTGCAGGTTCAAGGGTGTGGCGCTAGCGGTGTCCCGGATCTTGGCTCACTGTCTCTTGGGTCAAGGGATGCAAAGCCGCCTGAGTAGGAAGTGCTCTTGACGTGTTTAGAGGTCAGTAGCCCGTGTTTGCACACTTGGACCGGTGAAACCCCAGCTGCACTCCGTCGTGGCCACTCCAGCACTTCCCTGGAGCCGACAGCTCCGCCCAGCCAGGCAGTCTCCTCCCCTGGGGTATTCTTCGGGGAGACCGCTCCTCACACGCAGAGCAGCCTGGTTCACAGCGGTCCTCGTTTTTCTGCATCGAGTGTCAGGAGGGCTTTCCACACGTCCTTGCTGAGCTGTCTTTCTCACCAGCTGAGGATGGCTGTTCTTGCCCTAAGTGGACTTTCCTGCCTCAGTGAGGTGGGGCCTGTGTGTGACAGAGCCAGGGGGTAGGGACAGAGTTGCAGGGGTGGATGGTGGTGACAGCTGCACAGCCCTGGGAGCCTGTGAGAGACAGGGGAAGAGGCTGCACTTTACCTTGTAGCCAGAGACAGCTCTTCACAGAGAGGAAGAGGGTGTGTGCATCGGCTACTTGGCTAAGTTTGTGAGAGGTGGCCCAGAGGTGACCAGGTGCCCTTCGTCAGTGGGCCAATGCTGTAGGCAGGTGTGTGGGGGCAGGGCTGACTAGAAGGACACAGGTGATGTGGAAATGAAGACACTTGCCACCCGGATCACCCACAGTGGCCTTCCAGTTGTGCCCTCATGCAGACAGGCAGGCTGTGAGCCACCACGTCTGCAAAAGTGTGGCGTTCTGACAGTAGGAACCAGAAGGGGCAGTGAGGGGAACCCATGGGCCATGGACCCGCGGTCTGGCCTTGGGGTTCACAGGACAGAGACGGCTTCAGTCACGGGTGCTGCTTTGCACACACAGATCTCTGCCGTCAGAGCCAGGAAAGTGCAGAAGAACTTAGTGTTGCTTTTAGGTTTGAATTTTTATTAAAATTTCTGATGAAGTTGTTTTTCACTACATATTCTTTTGTAAGTGATTCATAAAATATATAAGGGTACTAAAACGGGGGCATTCACTGATAATATCTGAGGGTTAATCAGAAGAAAACAGTGTTTTCCTTCCTTTGCCAAGATACCGAGTTGTTTTGTTTTTTGTTTTTTTTTAAGATCTTTCTTATTTACTAGGCCCTGGCTGGTGTAGCTCAGTGGATTGAGCATGGGCCTGGGAACCAAGCAACCACGGTTCGATTCCCAGTCAGGGCACATACCTGGGTTGCAGGCCAGTTCTCTCCCTCTCTCCTTCCTTTCCCCTCTAAAGATAAATAAATAAAATCTTTATTAAAAAAAAGATTTTACTTATTTACTTTTAGAGAGAGAAGAAGGGAGGGAGAAAGAGAGAAACATGTCTGCCGTTGCCCCAGGTGCGCCGCCTACTGGAGGCCTGGCCCGCAACTCAGGTGTGTGCCCTGACTGGGAATCCAACTGGTGATCTTGCGTTTAGCAGGCTGGTGCTCAATCCACCGAGCCACACCAGCCAGGGCCAAGATATCAAGTTCTTGATCTTCCAAAAGATACTTACTTTGAGAGGACGGAGAAAGTCATCCTGCATTTTCCTTTGTAAAAAGCAGTTTCAGGATTGGGAACGGTGGTGGTTCACAGCGCAGGGCAGAGCTGCGCCAGCTTCAGTGGGCAGCTGGGGCTCTGGGCAGGTGCACCCTGTTCAGGCCTCAGCATCTTCGTCTGAAACAGTCACGACTCCGCAGTGCACGGTGAGTGTGAAGCAGTAACATGTACAATAAAATGCTCACTATGGTTCGTGGTACCTGTGAAACACTGCATAAGTGTCAACAACTTACTATTTGAGAAGTTCCCTTAAAATTAAGAGAATTTAATGAAGTTAAATAAGTTCTTGCGGAAGAAATAGGTTTCTAGGCAATCATCTAACATCTCATCCTGTAAAAGTGAGTAAATTGTGTTTTCCTTTCCATTTTTTTCACAGAAATATTGTATCCACAGTGAATCTTGGCTGTAAACTTGACCTGAAGACCATCGCACTTCGTGCCCGAAATGCTGAATATAATCCCAAGGTGAGACCAGCTTACGTGTTTCACACCAGAGGACAGGAATCACTTCCGAAGGCTCCAGGATGAAAAGGCTGTGCCGTGGCAGGACGTTCCTGCTCTTTCCAAAAGCCGGTGGGAAACAGGGGTCACTTCAGTGCGAACGGATGTGCTTGGAGTCTATGTATCCATTCCCTCGGGAGGGGAAGGTTTTATCCAGCAGGAGGGTGACAGTTGCAGAAGCCAGTCACGAGGAGCAGCACAGGACAGGGAGAGCAGAGGCCCTGGAGTTGACTGGGGGTGCAGTGAGTGCAGGGGAAAGCTGCAGACACTGCTGATCTCACGGGTGCAGGGAAGAACGCACAGGCTGCGGTCCAGCTCAGTCCTCACAGCTCTGCCCCCTGTGCACCGTTCACAGGGGGGCCGGCGTGGGCAGGGGGCTAGGGAGGGTGCTCGGCTCAGGTGCCCTTCTCGGTCGCTGTGGGGCTCCCTAACCCCCCACCCTCTCCGGCCGCTGCAGCGCTTCGCTGCTGTGATCATGAGGATCCGGGAGCCCCGGACGACGGCGCTGATCTTCAGTTCCGGGAAGATGGTGTGCACGGGCGCCAAGAGGTGGGTGTGGGCGGCCGCTGTCTGTGTCGCGGGGCTTCTCGGGGTGGCCAGTGCTGTGATGAAATGTGGTTGGTTCTGATCACTGTGGTTCGCAGTAATTCCATTTTCTTCACAGCAGGCAGGAGTTTTAGACAGAGGTTACTGTTGCTTGTGTCCATGCAGCTCAGTGCATTTTATATGTGTTTGATAATACGTTACATCAGAACAACTAAGAAGGTTCCCTTTACGTAAAAAGTTGTGTACGTAACACAGATTCCTCTGCAAGGAGAAAAATGTGGTTAGGGATGAGGAGCCACAGGCCTCTGGGCTCTGGCGGTGCCGCGAGATGTCACAGGGCCACAGGTGCAGCTGCCCTTTTGCTGAATGACGTTTGCCCCAAAGGTCCGAGTCGTGCGCCAAGTCAGATGCTGCTGTCTGTCAAGGTCACAGAGCATTTGGGGGCTTGACTAGGCTACCTGGTCGCACAGCCCCTGACTTGGCAGCAGGCTAGCACAAGTGAAGTACGTTAAGCACTTAAAATTAGATGATTAAAATGCACTTGGAGGTGCGAAGCCCTAGAGTGGGCTGTGGGTGCCTTTGCTTGTTCTGAACTTTGAAGTTGTGTTTCGACCAAGCGAAGGCCGTTGGTGTGGACTTTTGGGCTCCGGTCTCAGTGTTTTCAGGGGGCAGGACAGGGTCTGCCCTGGCTCCGCCCCCTCCCTCAGGGGCCTGCTGTGCAGTGTCCTCGGGAGCAGCGCCAGGAGCCTGGGGGCTGCTGGGGCGGCTCCGAGCAGCTCCCTTCCTGGGGGGCAGTTTGTGCTGACTCTGCCGCTGCTGCCCAGAGCACTTGCTCAGACTGAACAGTGTGTACCGTTTTGGGTGAACAGTTTGTTATAAAAGAAACCGAAAATGAACTTATTCTCCTGGAAAAAAGCACCATGTGTGGTGTTTTCATCCCTGAGCTGCACCTGAGAGCCATGGCGGCCTGGGTGCTCTCACTGTGTTTCACCCCCTGTCACAGTCGTGTCCCGCTCACGGGTCCCAGAAGGGCCTCAGGAGTGGGCAGAAGCAGGGTGCACGTCCCCAGGCACAGGTCTCCAGAGGGTTTGTGGGCCGACACAGAGTAACAGCCACGCTAATGGTGACGGCCACATGTCTCACACCTGTAAGTTATGGGCTGACTGGGATTTTGTGCGTTGGAAGGGTGGCTGTTTCGGTAGCCTGGTTTCCTGCCAAGGACACAGGATGACTTTGCAGTCCAGTTGTTTGTGTCTGCTGATCGTTACTCTTACTGGGAAGGGGTGACCTTCCAGTCACCCCTTTTGGAGGAGCTGGTCGTCGAAGTAACCCCTTGAGCCGGCCTCGTGTGGACACAGCGCCCTGTCCCCTCTCCCTAGTGAAGAGCAGTCCCGCCTCGCAGCAAGGAAGTACGCCAGAGTCGTGCAGAAGCTGGGCTTCCCAGCCAAGTTCTTGGACTTCAAGATCCAGAACATGGTGGGCAGTTGCGACGTGAAGTTCCCCATCCGGCTGGAAGGCCTCGTGCTGACCCACCAGCAGTTCAGCAGGTGAGTCCCGAGTGGGCAGGGCCGCGCCTCGCAGCTCGGTTGAGATGTGCGTGGTAACCCGTCCGGGAGAGCGGTCGGCTCGTAGGAACAAACTGTCGTCCGCTGCGTTTGCTGTGGAGCGTCTCCGACAGCTGTGGGGCGTCTGGTTCTTGCCGGCCTCCTTTCCACTGCACGTGGTGATGTGAACCTCCCTTCATGGGTGGAGTTGCTTCCCTTTCTGGACTCCATCGGTAGTTTCTTAGCGAATGTGTTTCAAATGCGTGAATTAAACTCACCACCTTGGGCATCGACTTCTCCCCCCATTGTTTCAATCTTCGGTGAGCTCAGCGTTACCAGATCCGCCAGCGACGTGGGTGCCCTTTCCGTGTCTTCCCCTGCTGCTTCCCGCCGAGACCCCCCGGTGGGAAGCCCCTCTGCAGCCCTTCAGTGTGAGGCACCCGGCTCCCCTCAGGTTTGCCGTGGCTTCGGGGTGCCCGGACCTTTCATGTCTACTGAGCACCTCTTCCTCAGAGACACCTTCCTGAGTTTCCCACGGTTACTGAGTGACGACGTGATGTCGCCAGGGTCAGAGTGGGACACCGAAGCAGAGCGCTTGGTCGGCGGAGTGAGGGCAGGTCCATTCTGCACCCAGCGTGTTTTCTGTCACTTGGGTTAAATCGCCTGACCAGCCTGATAGCCAGAGAGTATTTCAGTTTAAGGAGACAAGGCGGGGATGATTAGAAGGCATACCGCCAGATCTGAGAGAGAAATGTTACCCCCAGACTTGTCCGGAGTGGCACCAGGTCAGGTGGGACAGCCTGCAGAGCGTTAGCGTGGAGCTCTCCCTCCACCGAGAATCCAGGTTCGTGGAGAGCAGAGGTGCCGAGTCCTGCGGTGCCGGTGCCTGCTGGCCGCACAGGCCTTCTGTCCCCTCTCCCGGGCCTGGGACTCGGGGAGCTTTGCCTCCTCCCAGTGGCCGTTGTTCACTCCTGCTCACACAGGTCTTCTCTCTGAAAGCGTGGGCAACTTCTAACTGACACATTGTTTTTGCCATTTTTCTTCTAGTTATGAGCCAGAGTTATTTCCCGGTTTAATCTACAGAATGATCAAACCCAGAATTGTTCTCCTTATTTTTGTTTCTGGAAAAGTTGTACTAACAGGTAAGTTTTGATAGCAAGTCGTATCTGAAGGTTTGAAAATTTCAGAATGGCACTCTTTCAATGCCGAGGAGTAATGGTGTGGACTCGGGACAGTTGGTAATGACTGGTAAAAAGGCCTCTTCTTGTCCTCCCATCCCAAGATGCTGGCCGGGTGGCAATGCCCCCCTCCCCCCACTGCCCTGCCAACTCCCACCATGAGGGAAACCGAACCCCGTACCTGCTGGGGCTTCAGCCTGGGCTTGGCCTGGTGGGGAGGGGAGGAGCTGAGGCTGACGTTGGCCATGAGATGCAGTGTTAAGTGGGAAATGGCTGGTAAAGCCTTCACATCCACCCCTGCGGCGTTTCGAGACAACAGAGGGAGATTCAGAGGTGCTTGGTGGAGGAAGGTGGCAACTGGAGAGGAAAATTCGGCCACTGTCACCGCACCTGTGCCTGCGACCTAGTGCAGGGGCTCGGCCACAGCTGTGGAGAGGGAGGCTGAGTCACCTGGGGCATCGCTTTCGTAATTCGAAAAGCCCTCTCATGAAAATACTGCTTTAAAACAAAAACAGGATGATGACAAGGGGCCCATCACTCGCGTTTTAATGCCTGTGTCTGCCCGTCTCACTGCAGGGAGAGAATGGTGCTAGTGGTTTCGTTGTGATGCCGTGATTCTACCTCTTCACAGGCCGGGCAGTGCCGGTTCAGACTCTCAGACTCTCACGGCTGCTCCGCTTGCCTTCACAGGTGCTAAGGTCAGAGCAGAAATTTACGAAGCCTTTGAAAACATCTACCCGATCCTCAAGGGCTTCAGGAAGACCACGTAACAGCTGCGGCCCTCCCGCCCTCCCCACCCGCTTGGTTCTGAAAACAAACCCGTTTTGGTACTTAGGTGGTGGCAGTGTGGGTGGTGGCCTGCACTCGCGCCAGACGGCACTGTCCTGGCGGCGCCTTGCGCCCTCGTACCTGGATTTAGAGTTTTAAACACTTCCTGCTGCCGACAAGTGGGTGTGAGGGAGAAACTTCAGTGTGAAAGCTGCCTCTGCAGTTGCCTGGGCTTTTCATTTTGTTTGCTTTCTTCCCCGTGAACCACAGTTTTTATATTTCTACCAGAAAGTAAAAATGTTTTTTAAAAGTGTTGTTTTTCTAATTTGTAACGCCTAGGGTTTACCTTTGTGCCGACACGTCCCGCCTCTCCAGGGTCGCGGGTCACGGCAGAGGGCTGCCGAGGGGAGTGGGCCTCACGCCTCCTCCCGTCAGCACGCTGTGCGATACACGCTGTTTGTGAAAGTGTTGGGTTGACCTTACAGACGATGCCTTGTAAGATTTCTGTGATCACACTGTTGGAAAAGTTGTATTTTAGATACAATGCCTGAAATCACCTCTGTGTGTGCCTGTGTTTTGTTTGGATCAGCATTTCACTGTGCGTTGCAATGAAAGTGGAAGAACCATCTGAACATGTGAGGTTGCTCTCCACACGTGTGTTGATCACGTTCCACGACTGAGCTCCTCCCGTCCCCAGAGACGTGGCCTGCGACTGGCGGCCCCAGCAGCCGGCCTAACGTCTGTCCGTCCCACGGAGATCCCTGTCCCTTTGTCACAGCTCAGTGGTGTGACCTTTCGTTAGGAATCAAACGTTTGGTTGACTTTCTTCCCTTTGACCAATCACTGATTTGTTAGGGGGTTGCGAATGATGAAAGTCTAATCATTTCACTTTTTCTTATTTTCACTGGAATAATTTTATAAAGTGATACACACTTCAAAAGTTTGCAAGATAAGAAACTTCATGAGTTCTTACCACCCAATTCAAATTGAGGACTACTGGGGTTCTATTTAACCAATTCCATGTTAAATGTTATCTTTTACACAGGAATTATAATTTAAAAAAACAGTCAATGAGTTCAAATGTTCCGTAATACATTTTTTCATGTTACACACACAGCAGTCATAGAGTACAGGAGACTACCACCAACTGATGATCAAAAGCGTTACAGTGTATTTTTCTTGCTGTGCTTTCTAAATTGTCAGAAGGTGCTGAGACCAGAACCCAGGGCCAGCTGGAGCGCAGTGCGTGGCTGTGCTGTCTGGCTGGGCGGAGCCGCCAAGCAGAGGTCTCAGAAGCAGGAACTGGGTGAGGAGCAGTTACAGTGTTTCTAAATGTCTTGCCATGTCTAGAGGTAACTAAGTTGCATGAGGTAGTATCTCACATATATTTTTGATATAGTTGCTGTTTTAAAATCTCAGTTTATTATAGGAGATGCGTAGGGAGCCACTCACAGGCTGTTGGAGGAAGGGGCCCTCCAACCTGCAGGGACTGGAGCCGAGACTGACAGATGTCAGAGGGGAAGGTCAGGGCCTGGGTGAAGAGGTAACGGGATTAAGGGGACAAACTCTCAGACACAGACTACAGTGTGGGGGGAGGTGAAGGGGGGTGAATGGCGACGGAAGGAGACGCGGCTTAGGGTGGTGAACACACAATTGAACATACAGACGATGTGTAGAATTGCACACTTGTGTGATTTTATTAACCAGTGCCACCCAGGAAGCTCAATTTAAAAAGACCCTGCAGGGAACGGGCGCACCTCTCCCTCCGGCAGTGAAGTAGTGGGTGCGCCGGACCTCCCGAGGGGCAACTTCTTTTCCTGCAGGTGAAGGGAAGTTGGGGTCCTAAAGATCAGGAGAGACACCGGGGTTTCACTTCTGACTTTACCAAGGGGAAGGGAGGAAGGTGGACAGCAGAGGCCTCATAATTGGTCCAACTGAGAACAAGGAGACCCCTACTGGGGCGATTTCCTCCGGAAGCTGAGGGAGCTGTCTGTCTTGTGTTCAGCTGGCTGGGCAGCCGTGTGGAGGAGGCCGAGTCAGTAGGTGAGTCTGACCAGAGAAAGGAAGGGTGCAGGGTGCAGAGGGAGTGTGCTCCAGGGTCAGCCTGTGGAGTCTGAGCCAGCTCCTCTTGTGTCTGTCAGTCCCTTGCTGCTTAAGTGACTGGAGTTGTGTCATTTGCAACCAAGGGTCCTCAGGCTGGGCTGGATGCACGTGCGGGCAGGAGGGCAGTGTTGGGGAGGACAGCGCCCGCAGTTTTGAAAGCCCATGGTGTCCTGGGGGGCAGGGGAGCACCAGGGGGTGAGGGGCTTGCGACACAGCCCACCTTGCAGATGGTCCTGTGGATCAGCACCTGTCAGACCTCACAAAAGACCTGCTTCTCTTTTCTAATTTTTATGCCATCCCAGGCCAGTACACTTGTGAAACCCGTTAAACAAACAATTAGAAAAAGGAAATAAACATGCACACCACGCTGGCTGAATTTTTAACTGTGAGACTGTGCTGACAGGAAGTCACCCTTTCGGGTAACCGAACGATGGCTCGCAGTCCCTGCAGGCACCTCGCTGCAGACGGAGGTGACCGGCTGGCAGCCCTCTGTGTGCTCACAGCCCAGGCTGCCACGGCTGTTTGGAACGTGTGCCGCCATGTAAGTTAAGTTGTTTAGAATGACTATGTCTTTGACGAGGCGTCGCAAAGTCGGCTCTGAACCCCACCCAAAACTTCTCAGACCTGGGAGGGACCCCCAGAGGCAGCCATACCAGACGGACGACACGCGTTGTTGATCTTGCTAGCACTCAGACGACCGAGTTAGGGTTTCACCCTTCAACGGACAGAGCCACCTGCGGGCGGCTGGGCTCACTTGGGAAGCAGCAGCTTTTGTGAGACAAGGTCAGTGCGTTCAGGGCATCCAGCCTCAGGACAATGGGTTTTTGACACTGGCGGGAGGGAGAGGCTGAGCAGAGAAGTGTGTGCGTATGTGCACACATGCGGAGAGCACAAATGTCGTGTCTTCTGCGTCCTGCCCTCCACTGCCTGACTGGCGGCCGTGTGACCGATCACACACAGGTCACCAGCCACACGCCTTCTCTCTGCAGCCCTGACATGCTAGTCGAGGGGGGACCTCTGCGCCTTCACTGCCGGTGCTTTGGTTTTCAAACAGACTGTCTCCTGTGCCAGAACCAGTGCTTCTAAAGGGCCCTCCACAGTGCATCTCTATAAAAGTTGTGTTTATTCTTTGCTTAAAAAAAATATGTTCTAAAGGGCAAGTAAATACCCTCAAACCCTCAAAATGGAAACATAGTCTTGGAGTGAATTTTGAAAAGATAGATATTTCAAAACTCTGCAAGTGATGGGAAGAATTCTCCACGTGGGGTTAAAACCAGGTGTCCCTTTTGTGTGGAACTAATAATCTGTAGGAAATGGTCTCTCCACCTGCCTCTGGCTGCCCAGCGCCCGCTGACCTCCACGAGCTGTCAGACACGTTTTTGGAGTGTCTTTGAGGATGATCTTGATGGAGTCCATTATTTTTCAACAGTGCTAATATTGTTTGCTACTCTGTTGTATGAGTCTTTTATGTAGTGGGGTATTAACCCCGTATCAGACACTTGGTTTGCAGATAGTTTTCCCATTCTATAGGTTGCCTTTGTTTCTTTCTGTACAGAGCTTTTTAGTTTTGTGTCGTCCCACTTTTTTTTTTTTTTTAATTTTGTTGCTTATGCTTCAGGGGTCATGTCAGAAAATGCATCACCAGCACCCACTTCAAGGAGCCTTTATCCCTTTTTCCTCTAGGAGTTAACATGGTTTCGGGTGGTACATGCAAGCCTGTAACCCGTTGGGAGTTCATGTTTGGGGGGGTGTAAGACAGGTGGTTTCAGTCGTTCACATGTGAATATCCAGTGTTCCCAGCAGTGTGTGTTGAAAAGACTGTTTTCTCCATCGAGTCTCCCTGGAGCCCTTGCCATGCACTTGACCGTGTGTGTTTGGGTTCGTTTCTGGGCTTTCACTTCCGTGTCATTGAACTCAGTGTCTGTTTTCATGCCTGTGCCTGCTGTTTTGATGACAGTTAATCCAGAGCACAGCTTGAAAGCAAAGTGAGACAGCCCTGCTCCGCTCTTTCTCAGGATTGCCTTGGCTATTCAGGGTCTTTTGTGGACCCACAGAAATTTGAGGAGTTTTTCTCCTGTAAAAAATTGCCATTGGACTATTGCTAGGGATGGCAGGCACTGAAGCTATAGATGGCTTTGGGTGGTAACCTTTTTTTTTTTAAGATTTTATTTTTAGAGATGGGGGAAGGGAGGGGAAAAGAGAGGGAGAGAAACTTTCATGTGCAAGACAGAAACACTGATTGGTTGCCTCTTGCAGGAGCACCGACCCCAGGCCTACATCCTGACCAGGAATCAACTGGCGACCTCTTGGTTTGCAGAGTGACACCCAGCACACTGGTCGAGGTGGGTAGTAACACTTTAACAATATTCTTTCGATCCATAAACAATGCTTTTTTCCATGTTTGTGTCTTCTTCACTTCATCGGTGTCTTAGTTTTCAGAGATCTTTCATCCCAGTTATACTCATCCCTGAGTGTTTTTTCATGCTATTATAAATGTGACCAATTTTATTTCCTTTTCAGGAAATCTGTTGACAGTTGCTTTTTTTTTTAAAAAATATTTTATTTATTTATCTTTAGAGGGGAAGGGAAGGAGAGAGGGAGAGAAACATCAATGTATGGTTGCCTTTCGTGCGTCCCCTGCTGGGAACTGGCCTGTAGGGAACTGGTCTGCAACCTAGGCATGTGGCCCGACTGGGAATCGAACCGCGATTGTCTGGTTCGCAGGCCCGCGCTCAATCCACTGAGCTACACCAGCCAGGGCTCAGTTGCTTTTTTTTTAAAGATTTTATTTATTTATCTTTTTTAGAGGGGAAAGGAAGGGGAGAGGGAGAGAAATACCAATGTATGGTTACCTGTCGTGCGTCCCTTACTGGGAACTGGCCTGCAACCCAGGCATTTGCCCTGACTGGGAATCGAACCTCAATCCTTTGGTTTGCAGGCCCTCACTCAATCCACTGAGCTACACCAGCCAGGGCGACAGTTGCTACTTTTGAACATGGTTGGAGGTCAGTGTGTTTTATTTCTGGTCTAGTCTAGACTCAGACTAGTCTGTCCCCCAGAGGGAGACCCTATGAATGCCCTGTGCATGCTCACTGTCACCTTCAGCATGGTGGGGATACACAGCTAGAGCACAGCCTGGCTGGTTCCTACCAATGTGCCTTTGAGAATGTCCCCATCTTTTTGGGTTTTTTTTTAAAGATTGCTTTAATTTTAGAGAGAAGGGAAAGGAGAGAAAGAGAGACACATCGACATGTGGTTGCCTCTCAAGCGCCCCCTACTGGGGACCCAGCCTGTAACCCAGGAACTTTCGGACTGGGAATTGAACCTGTGACCCTTCAGTTTGCAGGCCAGCACTCAATCCACTGAGCCGCACCAGCCAGGGCTGTCCACATAGGCAGACCTTAATGAATTTGCTGAAAAAATCCTTAGCAGTCAGGATGCTGTAATGACTGTAAGAATTATCTTAACTTGGGGTATGAGGCCCCACTCATCCAGTGTTTCAGAAGCCACTGAGCTCTTTACCCATGTGTGTGACTGTCATTAGTTGATGAGAACTTTCAGTGTGTCCTCCTTTATCCATGCTCTACCACCACTTGGGAGTGACTCGCAGATTTAGCGCCCCTCCCCCAGCCTCAAAACCTTTCTCTTTCAGGGTTGTGCCCGACAGTCTCCCTGTGGGAGGTCCGTACTAGTTTTCCGTGTGGTGCTGTCTGACCGTGTTTAGGTACACAGTTCTATGAGTCACGCATACTTTCACAGGATGTGGACTTTCCGATATAAATACAGGGAAACAGCCAAATGGCAACAGTAGCAGATGGTGCGGCCTCCACGAGGACTCGTTTCTGGTGGCAGTCAGTGCACCTCAGGCACAGCAGGGCCAAGTGTGGGAGGACGTGACCCAGGGCAGACTCAAGTGACCACGAGAGGAGGCAGTCATTGGTGTGCAACCACCGGCCGGGGCAGTGCCTCCAGGTTTGCGTCAGGGCTGGGCAGGCAGCGCGGGGCAGAGGGGAAAGGGGCACAGGATCACTGTACCACTAGAGGCTGGCGGGAGCCTTCCAGCGGTTGACAGCTCAGGCTCAGCAGAGGCCTGTGTGAACAGATGCACCTGAAAGGCGGCCTCCTGAGCTCGATGGGACCACCCGGGGGCTGCCCCGGGGCCACTTCGATGGCAGTGCCCCCATCCGTACCTGGTCATCTGCACCTGGTTCCTTCCCCGGCACAGTGGTGGGGGACGTGCAGGGCCGACTAGTGCCCTGCCTGCTGGTCTCGTGTGTGGGCTTCTCTCCAGTCGGGCGGTCTGATCACAGACCCGGTCCCCGTCTGCCAGCTCTGCTGCCGCCTGAGAACACGGGGCATCCCACCCACTATGCTCCGCAGCCCAGGGGGCCCAAGTGTCTCCTCGAGTTCTGGGCTTCCATGTGCACCAGAGCCTGTGACGACCGCCTGGTCATCAGACATGCCTTCTTGAGTACTTCTGGACTCAAGTACTTTTCTCTTTTATTCGAAATTCTAGGGGAAAATTATCTGAGTGATGTTTTGACTTAATTAGGCATATAACCCACTTTTATTGAAGAAAAATACAAGTAAACACTTCATTTCACATAGTACACCATTCTGGTAACCTTCACACCTAGTGTGCACCTTTCCAGATTTACTTCCATGCGCGTGCGCGCACACGCACACACACACACAAGCATTTTCTTAAACATTTTCTAAAAGCCCTACCAGGAACGCCATCTGTACCAGCACCTCAGTTCGAGGTGCCCGTGTGACCTGCGCCTCATGTGCTGTGCACACAGGTCTGCATCAGCGAAACCGCACGGCACCCCCTGGGCTGACCCACCAAAACTTCAGGTCGCCCCGTCACTGGACGTTTTCATGTCACTAATGTTGAGACACAGTCAACAATCCCTAGAACATCTTTTCGTCTGTCTCACGACATGCCCTTGGGACGCGGTCCTAAGGAAGTAGACGTGCAGGGTCTGAGAGGTCGAGAGGTCACGTGCATTCTGAAGGCTGGGCAACGTGGTTTCCCGGTGCTGCTGTCACGTCTTGCCTCCACACAAACTCCTCCGTGTAGCCCGCGCCCAGGCTGCAGCTCTCCGCACAGGTGAAGACGGCCAGGACGCCCCAGTCCACGCTCCTGCCCAGCCTGTCGGCCTTGAGGTGGTTGAGCAGCTGAGGCATGACCTGCGAGGGACGACACTGTCAGCAGCGCCACTGGCTTCCCGGCCTCCCGGCCACTGCAGGGCCTTGGGCTGTCGATTCCCAGGCACACGGCAAACTGGGGAACGGCGAGGGGCTGCCGGCGATGTGAAATTCTGTGCACAAGCTGGCCCTCTCCTCGCACCACGGGCTTCGGGACTAAGAACCCGTCGGCGCTTGATTTCCCCTTTTCACCCCAAGGAACACAAATTACCTGTATACTCTGTAAGGTCAGTGAATCCACAGTTAAAGATTTCCACCCAACCCCAGAATGACTGTGATGCTAACAATTTCTGTAGACAAAACATTGATGCTCACATCCATTTGTTTTCTTACTGACTCCACAATCAAGACTAAATAGAGAAGTTCTAAAACACTCCTCTCCCAAAGCACAGAACCAGACAGACCCTGACAAAGCTAACGAGAGGCGTTAAAAATAGCTCTGAGCGTGCACTGGGAGGTGGGTGGGGTCAAAGGGCTGGGAAGGGACCCTCACTACTGTGGAAGGCAGTCGGTGTGTCTGAAAACCAGTACCCTGACAAATATCAGAAACACTATCATTTAGGGATGGAAATAATTACCAGATAAAACAGTAAAAGACCAATTTTAAGCCCTGAGGGGGGCAGGAAACTACTGAGTTTCACAGCAAGACAACTTCCATAACAGCATACAGATCCCATGCACAGGTGACTTTGGACAAGTTCTGCAATGTTAAAACCGTACAGCAGTGTCTACAGAGTAAAACAGCCCCTGCTGAAGGTCATACCTGGAATTCAAATATTCTCTTGGCACCACAGGGGCAATCAGGGATATCCTCTTCTCGGGGGATACTGTCACCGGAGATCCAGATGGGGGCGATCCCCCTGCCGTATCTGAGAACCTGAAACCAATTAGGGTCGTGTTCCAACCTCCCACATCTCACCTGAGACACCCCATTTGCTCCCACTTTTGGTGGACACTCCTCTGAAAGGCAGGGTGCTCTTCCCTGCCCCACCCAGCCCCTTGTCAAAGCGAATGCCTCCTCCACCTCACCAAAGCCAGCATTTCAGCTTATGTCATGCAGGGCAGAGAAAGTACATTTCTTGGCTGATGACAGGGTTTGAATCTCAACCTACAACTATTCTGTCTGTGCCCATTAACAGGTTCTGAATCCAAATGCAGTCTGTGCTCACACAGATACACAGAACTCAGGCCAACACTGTCAAAGGGACCAGTATCACATGAAAGGTGTTTAGGCAAACATTATACGACCTCATACAATGGCCCGAGTGAGGCCTGAATTCTGCTACGAGCTCACAGTGCTCCAGACCACCTTATCAGCATCTCCAACCCAGAGCCACTCTTCCCAGACTCCCGTGTGTTGACTGGACCCAGGGACCAGCTTATGGGAATCTGGCCAAGTTTCCTGCCATGACTGCTGTTCCCAGGGAGGGCGGGAAGGGGAACAACAGAGATGAGCGAGGGAACCGTGCTGAGCATCTCCCTGAACCCACAGCCACCCTGGTTCCTCTCACTGTTGCTGTGACCTCAGCAGCAGGTCACAATGCAACACCCGGATCCGGGACTCTGCCCACAAAGCCAGTGTCTCAGTGTTCACGTCTCGTGCTGGTTTCACAAGCCAAAGGGCCTGATAGGAAACTGGGAAGAATATCTTTCCCTTCTGTTTTCAGTGCCTAAACCACGTGTCGCCCTCAACGCCCCACCCGACACTGTCCTCAGAAAACCAACCCTGCGTGGCACACGGCCTGATGGCCACTCATTCAGCGCCCAGGACAAGAGCAGCCCAGCAGACATATGCCTTCCACGCCAGAGGCTGTGGTGACGGGACCGGTCTGGGGACCCTGCCAGACAGAACCCCTCCCAAGAACACAAGGGCCAAGGGTGAGCAATATGCTCCACTTTACCTGTTCTGGTTCCAGGGCTATTTTAGTTTTAAACTTCTGGAAAATCTTATCTTCCATGGATTCGTGTTTTGCCAAGGAATCCAATTCTTCCTCTGGTGCTTCAGCTGAAAAACCCCCAGCATGACTGTCAGGCCAACAGACAGCACCCCACACCATGACAGCCCAAACACGCCGAGTGTCAAACCACCAGGCAAGCGCTGAGCCAGACAGGTGGGACTTCTTCCTGTCGCTGCTGCGAGACCAGCTGAATCCCAGGTCTCCGTGAACCGTGAGTTACTACTGTGCAGGCTCCTAGTGAGCACTGCTCTTCAGTAAAGCTTCAGGTCTAAAAGCAGACCTCAGTCCAGTTGAGATGGTGGCAGAGGTAAACATGGCTTGCCTCCTTGCGCAACCACATCTCAATCGCAGCTGAACTACCGAAAACCTCTGTTCAGAACTGTCAGGAACTGGGCTAATGGAAGGCCTACAGCTACAGAATTAGAGAAGAAACCGCGCTGTGACTGGTAGGAGGGTCGCAGACGTGGAACGGGCTGGTCCCACACCTGTGTGTGGGAATAAAAATCAGGAGGATATCTCGGGAGCAGGGGATCCCGGCCCCACAGCAGGCCCCCAGCCAAGGGTTCTAGTGCCGGGAAGAGAGGTCTCTCCCTAACTTCTGGCTGCAAAAATCAGCAAAGATTGAGGCTGTGGAAGACAGAAACCTCTGGAGTCCCAAGCAGTTTCCCTGAAAGAACCTACACACGGACTTCCTCGGACTCACGCCCTCCGAGCTCCAGGGCTGGGGAAGCAGATGGAAAGGTATCAGGGACACACAGGGTGGAACTGAGCTGCCCCGTGGGGACAGAGGTGCTGTCAGAGGCTGCCGTTCCTTTTCTGAGCCCTCCCCCACGGAGCCACAGGGCCAGCAGGCAGGGGCTAGAGATGAGACTCCATCAACCCGGCTCACACTGTGGGCACCACCCAAGTTTCAGGCCCACCCAAGCTGTTTCCAGTGGCTTTTCCATGTGAATGGCTTGTCTTGGCCCCTGCTTCAGATTTTCCTAAATTCTCTCAAACAAGCGGCATCTGGCGTCAGTGCACCCCACTCTTCCCCTTCAGTTACCCCAGGCCCAGCACTGGGAGCAGTGGCCTTGGTTCACAGCGTGGCCTCATTTGGGCACCTGCAAGCCCAGCACAAGTAGCAGCCACCTGCAGATCACTTTGTAGCTTTTGCTGTTACCCTGGACAGAACACAGGCGGCGGATGACTCTGGACTTGCCAACAGAAATCAAGGCTCAAGTACAACAGGAGGGTGTACTCAGCCCGTACCTCAAGGACCCAGCTTGGGTGATGGGGAGGCTGTGCCACTGGACCATAGAGGACACCTACTGCGTTAGGCCACACTATCAAGACACAGTCAAAGCAGCTGTACCGAATACGTAAAAAACGAACACAGGGAGGCTGCCAAAACAAGGAGACAAAGAAACACGGCCCAAATGAAAGAACAGATCACAATTCCAGAAAAAGAGCTAAATGAAATGGGGATAAGCAATCTATCAGATGGAGTGTTCAAAACACTGGTTACAAGGATGCTCAAGGACCTTAGTGAAGACCTCAGCAGCATGAGAGAGACCCAGTCAGAAATGAAGGACACACTAAATTGAAATAAAGAACAATTTACAGAGAAACAACAGTAGAGTGGATGAAGGCAAGAATCAAATCAATGACTTGGAACATAAGGAATCAAAAAACAACCCATCAGAACAAGAAAAAGAAAAAAAAAAGGATAGTGTACGCAGCCTGTGAGACAACTTCAAGTTTTCCAACACTCGCATCACAGGTGTACCAGGAGAAAAAGAAAGAGAGCAGAAAATCGAAAACTTATTTGAAAAAAATAATGAAAGAAGTTACACGCATGACCCATGGTCAATGGTGTGGGGCCTGAGGTGTGGGAGGGTGACTAAGGGGGAAAACTGGGATAACTGTAAGCATAAACAGTCAAATACAACTTAAAAGTAAAAAAATAAACAACAGACCCAAGTCCTGGGCTCAGGATGGCTGGGCCCAGCCCATGAAGGACCCTCAGCAACTGTGAGTCCTTCTTATTGCTGCTGCCCCTCGGCCATCTGGACTCTTTCTTCCAGTCTTCTCACATTTCCCGCCTCAGCCAGTCCACGCACTCACCCGTCACCCTCACTGGGGACCTGCCAGCTCCTTCCTCTGCGCTCTCAGCTCCTGGGACCCGGGTCCCTGTACCACTGCTGTCCCTAGCGGGAGTCAGTTTTTATGACAATTATTGGAGCATATTTCTGATGTCTTTAATATGAACTACAGACCTGTAATTTGACGCTCTACTCTGAAATCTAACCTTGTAGCAGTTCTAAGAGCACGAGTTCTATGGTCAATGAGACATGAGCTCAAACTCCAGCTGTGAAACCAAACAACTGAGGTCAGTTACATGGGCACACACATGGGGTGCAGCTGGTAATTTATTGTGATCTTCATGGGACCCTGAAGGAAAGTCCTTGGTGCACAGGGAAGAAGTAAATGCTGGCAATCAGTCTCTTGGGTGTGTGATCAGCAGAGGCACTCGAGTGTGATCAGCTCTAGAGAACGGACCAAGTCATGTGTCTAAAACTGGCCCGATGAAAGAGAAACCCACTTCGGTCCTGGCCGGTGTGGCTCACTGGACTGAGCGCCAGCCTGTGAACTGAAAGGTTGCTGGTTTAATTCCCGTGAGGACTCACGGCTGGGCTGTGGGCCAAGTCCCTGGTTGGGGTGTGGGAGAAGCACATCAATGTTCCTCTCCCTCTCTTTCTCCCCTCCCTCCCCTAAAAAAAATAATATAGTATTTTTTAAAAAATTAAGAAAGAAACTCAGTTCGGAAGCACCCTGCCTCCAGCAGTTCAACCTGAGGAGTGGACCTGGGACCCGAATGACCTCACTGATTTTCCAGCATCCCGTGCAGTCCTACCCAGCGACCAGCAGGACACTCACTCATGTTTTCATGAAACCAGAACGCCCGACTTGCGCCAAGGTGGGAGGCACAGGGAGGTGCTTGTCAAATGAGGCGATATCTGAGAATTCTATATTGCAGCCTCTAAAATGAGCTGACTTTTCCTCTTAGTACCTCTTCTTGACACACTGAACCCTGTTCCCAGCATCATGTTTAGTCGCCTAGTACATCAAGTTCTCAAACTTACCCATGGTCCCTGCAACTTCCGACTCATCTTCCCTCTCCAAAACTTCAGGTGTAATCTCATCTTCTGTTTCTATGACGATTTCAAATTCAGGAAAAAGGAAGTTGTGGTCTGGAACTGTATTGTCCGAATTATCTGAAAGACAAAAGGTAACCAGCGCTATTAGAGATGATTGGGTTTTGAAGACGGTTGACTGTTCTACTTCTACAGTACATTTCACGTAGTAACGGTTTCCCCTAGTAAGTGATGCCCTGGGCGCCAGCAGTTCAGGTTACAGGATGAAACTGGGTCCAAGACCTCCCGGCTCTTCTATCACACAGGTATTGCTACCAAGCTTGGGAAAAGGATTAGAGCTTTTCTAATTTTAACTTTTCTACACGAGATAAGTGGTCTAGGTGGAGAGATGGCATGAAACCAAGCTAAAATCCAGGCATCCGCAAGGGGGCTCACCTGCCTGTCCACAGGCCTGCCTGTGCCCGGCTCTCCAGTCCAGTGTCTGGTGGTCCCTGCCACAGTAGTGCGCGCGGTGGCATCCGGAGCAGGTCTTGGGGCCCAAGCAGCCGCACACCCTGCAGAGCCGTGGCCCGGACGTGAGCTGGAGGCGTATGGGTTCTCCGGTCTCTGGCGGGGGTTCCTCAGCAGGTGGCTCATGTGAGTAAAAGTCATTTTCTCGGGGTAGCTGATTCCTAAAAACTGAGGAAAACATAATATTTTAAATAAACAATATGTCAATTCAAATATATGAATACTCATTCCACTCAGGACAGACAAGACACTCGTCTCTTACAAACAGAAGGCAGTTTTGCTTTCCGGGAGCTTATTTTCTGAAAGGAGAGAAAACAAAACAAAAGTGGAAAAGAACAAGAAAGTCTTCGTCTCTGAAGCTTGCTCAAATTACGTTAATAAGGAGAATAACAGATCGTAAAGTCGCGGAAGAGCTACTGGAACCCAGCATTCTGAAAAGTAACACACGCAGCATGAGCACCGGCTTTTCGGGGCGAGGACGCGCGGGGGCAGGGACGCAGACGCCAGGGAAGCCGCCCCCGCCCGCCTCCCGGGGCGCGCCCCGCCCCCGCGCTCACCGCGCAGGCCCGCGCAGCAAGGCGGCGCGCGGCAGCAGAAGAGGAACAGGCCGCGGTGAAAGGCGTCAGTGCGGCCGGGCAAGGGTGCGTACAGCTGCAGCAGGAAGGCCAGCGGGCGGCCGCAGCGCGCGCACGCCAGCTCCGCGGGCCCGGGCAGCCCGGCCTCGCCCAGCCACGCCGGCCGCCCGCCCACCTTGCTGGGGAACTGCTCGCTGCGCAGCCTCCACGCCGGCGCCGCCTCCACGAAGCCCAGCTCCGCCGCCATGACACGCGAAGCGCCGTCCGGACGCTGCCCCGCCGGCCGGAAGTCGGAAGTCGGCTCCGGCGCGTGAGGACCGGAAGCGATTGGACAGCCTGCTGGTCTCGTGACTGGGCGGGGCGCGGCCCGCCGTGGGCGGTTACAGTCGTGGGGTGGGTGGCCGGCCGCCGGCTCGGAGGGCTTCGGGGCTCACGGGCACACTCCTCCCGCTCTGGGCCGCGCTCTGTGGCGCGGTTCCTGCTGCGACGGAGCGAAAGCTTCCGGACGCAAGGGGAGGGTTAGTAGGGTTTTAAGGACCAGAGCCTAGGGTTAAAGGGTAAAGGTTAGGGTTCAGACCTAGGGGCGTGTCAAGCGCGTAGACCGCTGTGCGGTCTTTCCTGTAAGTCCGCGGGGCCACGGCTGGGCGAGCTTCCTGCGGAGCAGCCCGGCACCACGGACTAGATGAGAGTCACACGGTGTAACTGTGCTCGCTCTCAGCTGTTACCGAATGCGGATTCCCTTCAAGTCACATTCCGCACCCATTAATATCCTACTCACGCTGTAACCGTCTAAGAACACGCGCACGCAGCAATCAGTGGGGGATAACGAACCGAGTCCCAGAGTCTCAGCCTGTGGGTCCGGGAGACAATACGGTGGCGGCAGGGCTGGTGAAGCCCTCGGTCCAGCAGGGCAGAGCCTTCAGCTGCCGATGCCCAGGGAGCAGCCCTCCGGTGTGTGGAGCTCGGCTGTCTCCGCAGTGGTCTGGAGCCTGACTCGTCTGGACAACGTTGCACGCAGACCCAGAGGGACCTGCTCACTTCTGTGATCCAGCCGAGTGGGCGTCGTGGACACCGACATGGGCACACTGAGCCCGGACACTGGCCCGGACCTCGGGGAGCGACACTGGCTTGTGCTGCACAGATCGTTTTTGACCTGGTGTTTGTGTTTGCTGAGCAGATGGAGTTTTATGTGATTGTAGGTTCTGTATCTCCCTGGTTCTCATTAAACAAAGATACTGCAGGCATCGTTCTTTGTGAGCATTTTCTGTGAACTTTGAATTCTCCCATCCAGAGGGGCTGAGACCCAAGAAGTTAAGTAACTTGCTGTCTCTCCCGAGGCAGGGATTCAAGTGCATGTGGAGGGTTTGGGACGCAGCTGGGGAGAGCCGGTGTGGACAACATCCGCGGAATCCCACGGAGCTTTGGAAACCCGCTCACAGCACGGGCCTGGAGGTGCCTCTGCAACGTTGGGGAGTCAGGGCCATTGGGGGCAATGGCCTTCTGTCCTCGGTGGAGAGCCGCTTCCAGGGGCTCAGGAGGTCACACAGCTAGGGAGTGGCAGGCCCCCAGCGGAACCGGGCAGTGCCTCTGCCCAGGTTCTCCGTAGGTTCCGGACATGCGTCCAGATGCGCCCAGGAAGGGGTGGGCGTCTCGAGCACCTGTCTGAGTCTCAGTATCTGCCCTGTCTCGCTTAAAATATGTGGGGCTTGGCTGTTAGAGGCTCCTCCCTGGTCTGGTGATGGGGAGCTCACTACCTTGCAAGCGGCCTGGGTTTAACTGTCTCCTTTGCGCTGAGCCCAGAGCTGTCCCTTCAGTTTTGGGCGAGACCCCAGCAGCCGCAGCCGACGGGAGAGGCCATCCCCGCCCAGGTCCTGCATCTGTGGCCTCACGCACAGGGGTGAGGGCTTCACTGGCTTTCGCTCGTCCTTCGCCAACGCCACCCAGCACGAGACTCCCTCCCGGACCCGGCTCGCGACCTTCCCTTTGGTCCGCAAGCAGCAAGGGTGGGCAGGGGCAACAACGTCCGGCCGCGGCCCCGCCTCCATGAGCCAGGTGCGCTCACTACCCTCTCCGTCTTCAGCATCGCGAGACATGGCGGCGGGGGCCTGTGCGGCGGGCGCCAAGGCTTCAGTCCCACCAGGAGGAGGACTTCTCGGAGGAGGAGGAAGACGCTTGGCGCTGATCATGTTCCGACCCCACGAAGAGGCCCGGATCTGGGCGTTCCCAGACTGCTGCGTCCTCTGGACGATGCACCTGTTCGCGTCCGGCCCGACAGCCCCCGTCCATGCGTGTTCCCTTCGGGGTCCCCGCCGCACCCCTCGGTCCCGCAGGGCTGCTGGGGTACCGAGCAAAGCGCCGGCCGCCCCCAAGCTGAGGTCTACCCAGCAGCTACCCAGCACCTCCCTCAGCCTCTTACTTCTATGTTTGCGCTCCTTAAGAATTTTATTTATTTGGCTCTTGGGGTCCGAACTCCTTTGCGGCAAAATGGCTAAATGCACCAAGAAAGTCGGAATCGTAGGTGAATACGGCACCCGTTATGGCTCCTCCCTCAGGAAAAGGGCGAAGAACATTGAGATCAGCCAGCGCGTCAAGTACACTTGCTCCGTCCGTGGCAAAACCAAGATGAAGAGGCGAGCGGCGGGGACCTGGCTCTGTGGCTCCCGCATGAGAACGGTCGCCGGCGGCGCCTGGACTCCCAACGCCCCTTCTGCGTCACAGTCCAGTCCGCCGTCGGAAGATTGAAGGAACTGAAAGATCAGTAGAAACTCCACAATTTGAAACATTACTAGCCAACAATGAATGGGTTAATTTATGTTACAGTTAAAAAAAAAATTTTATGTGTTTTTAGAGAGCGGGGAAGTGAGGGAGAAAGTGAGGGAGACATGTGAGAGAAGCCCGGGTCAGTTGCCTCTCGTACAAGCCCCAACCAGGGACCGTGCGGCTGCACAGCGACCAGCCTCACCACGGGTCTGCGCTGGCGGGTACTGAACTAGCGACCCCTAGCTCCACTGAGCGGTGATGCCAGACCCACTGAGCCATCAGCCCGGGCTGCGCCTCTCTGTTCACCTGATCCTGCAGTGGTCCTGCGGCGGCCCCCTGCAGCCGTTCCCCAGGTGGCCCCGTGTGTCCAGGCGCTTGTATATGTCACGCCCCAATAGATTAAAGTTTAAAAAGCAAAACCACACAGCACACGCTGGACCCATGAAGCCACCGCCCAAGAGAAGGTTGTGACGGGGAGAGCGGCGGTCACGGCCGCGACAACCCCACTGCCACCCTGAGAGGACTGGAGCCGCGCCGGTGGGAGAATCTCCAGCCTGGGGTCTCAGACTGGGGCAGGCGGGCGGCCGGAGGCCCGCCCACCCCACTCGGCCCTACCCGCCTGCCCGAGGGCTGTTCCTCTCTCCGTTTACTCAGTGCTGGGATTAGACCCTCAGTTTATGTGGCTGTATTTCCAGTGGGGGGTGTCTCCTCCTGGGACATGAAGTCTGGGCGTGATGCGCTTTTGTTAGGGGGCGGGGGGGGGGGCTGATTGCCTGAGCATCGCCAGCCGAGCCGCGCGCGGGTTTGGCTGTGGTAGCCCTGCCGCTGCCGCCCACGTGCCCACCTGTCCAGGGCGCTCCTGCGGGCCCCCAGTCCTAGTACCGCAGCTGCTGCGCGTGTGTGCAGCGGGACCTCCTCCCAGAACGCCGTCCGCCTTTCCGCTTCGGGGGCCACGAGTTCTGTGCGCTGCACAGCACAGCGCGCACTCGTCTCCTGGGACAGGGAGAGTCGACAAGGACGCAGCTGCTCTGAGCGCGCGGAGCGCCAGCACTTGCCAGTAAGGGCGCTGGCTCAGCCCCGAACGCTGGGCCGTGTCCGGCTCGCTGAGCCCTCAGCGGCTCCTTTGGCAGAATGTGCTGAAGTGAGGCGGACGGCGGTCGAGTCCAGCCAGCTCCCTGACACTGAAAGGACCTTGCGATCAGGCACCAGCGGTCTCACAGCACAGACCCAGGGACGAGGCCCGCTGTGACAGAGGAGCCGCTCCCACCGACCCTTTGCTGTACCTTGTCCCGCAGTGGGCGTCCTGGGGCTGCGGCTCCCACCTCTTCGGTCCGTGCATGCGCCCCCCCCCCCACCGCCCCAGGCCTGCACGTATGCGCTCTGCGCCCTTGGAAGAGGCGCCTGGAGGACCAGGTACCATTGTCCCGAGCGTGAGGCCCCGGGTTCTCCAAATGAAGGCGGTGCCTACGGTCTGCCGCAGCCTGATGTCCCTGCTATGCGGGACCTCCACCCTTCCTGGTCGGGCGAAGGAAGGACGCGGTCCCTGCTGGTCTCGGGGCAGCCTGGTCCCGCTGCTTCCCTCCAACGGGAGGAGCGCGCTGGCGGTTGCCAGGTAAGAGAAATCTCCGCCTGAGACGCACAGGAAGGTTCCAGAACCGACTTAGGCAGCACGGAACTGGGACTGGGAGCCTGTGCCCCACACGCTGCGGGACGTCCAGTCGGTGCTGCGGGTCGCGACTATGTGGCTGCGGAGACAGGTGCGCCACCGGAGGGCGGGGAAGACTGCTAGTGGGGTGTCCTCAGAGGGTCGCAGAAGAACACTGCCTGTGGGTCCCTCCACCTTCCAGACCCTTCCAGACGCACCGTTTCCCACGAGGCACTGAGGTCTGCGCGCATCTGTGTCTGTGCCGAGTGGGCGCTGCAGGGGAGGTAGACAAACAAAGGCCCCGCTGAGCGCCGACGCCAAGGGTGGACGTGGCCCCGCCCTTGGTGGGGGTCTGGGCAGGAACCTCCCGAGAGAAGATGATCATTGAAACTGAGTGGAAACAAAGCCGAGACCAGTGGCTCCTGGCGCGGCCCCGAGCAGCCCTCGGCACTACCCGGTGAGAAACAGCAGGTAAGTGGGGTGGAGAGCTAGCGGAGGCCCAGGGAGAAGACACCCGAAGGCAGGTGTGCACTGGACGGGGGCGACTGTCGCCTGCTTCTCACTGAGGCCTTTTCATCAGAAGTCTGGGTGGGAAGAGTCATCAGCAAAGTCACATTCCCCTTGGACAGAGCTTGCTTTTCGGTCGTTTCTCAGATAAACTGGGGACCCTATGGGGGTGGCGTCCTGAGGTACCACTGGGAGGGGGGCGTGACCAGGTGGCTCTGGCCGCTCTCTCTTCTTTGGGTTTGGTGCCCAGCGCTCGGCATCATTTCGGTGCTGGGAACGAAGACCCGCCTTCTGCCCCGCGTGGCCTGGAGACGGTCGGCCCGACAGGCACGTCCCGCCTGCACGCGTCCCTCGGATCCACATCCTGAAGTGGGGAGGGCACCTCAGCTGGTCTCCTGTGCGCGGCTCCCTCCCGACAAGACTGGGTTACCGACAGGAGCAGGAACGCCTCCTCCCGGCGGTTGATCCCAGAAACCCCGAAGTCTGAGCAGGTTTTTAAAAACAGCCGCGCGCACCCACCCACCTTGACTTCAATGGGTTTGTGAGGGTTTTCTTCAGCGATGGACTGCAAACAGAGCGTCGTTATGCTCCTGGGAGGCAGCAGGGTGGTCAGCAGCCCTTTTCTCGTTGTTTGGCCTGTTGTGAAGCTTTTATATTGAGCGTCGGCTCCTTGTGCGATCAGAAAACCAGCGCCGAAGAGGGAATCCGGGAAAACACATGTGACCCCTCCTCGGACTCTTCCCTCTCCTAATAAGTCCAGCTCACGGACCAGGACCACCCACTGGCACCTAAGAAATCAACTTGTGACGCTTCGAGTAGGTGTTTCCCGCCCCAACCCCCAGACCGAACAAAGCTTCGGAGTCCGGTGTCGGCGGAGAGCTGCAGACTGGCCCGGCCAATCCGACCGCCGGGACCCCATGGGACCCGTCCTCCGCTTCGTCTGCCACTGTGACCGCCTCCTGGGGCCCCTGCCTCAGCATCTTCCTGCCCCCCTGGGACCTGGTCCCCGTGTTCTGTGGAGACAGCGCCTAGACGGTGCAGGAGCGGAATCCTGGGACAGGGTGAACGGCCCATCACTTACCGCCTGGGGGAGGGGGCGGTGCGGTCTGACAGGGGCGAGGGGCGGCCGGGGGCTTGTTCTTGGGGAGATGGAGACGCGTGGGAGCGGAACACCACCGCGGACTTGCAAACCTGACGCAGAACCGAGAGCGCGGCGTTTCTCCAGCGCTCTCCGCGCACGCGGGGGCGTCAGGAGGAGGGTGTCGCTGCAGCCTAGGCTGGCCTGACCCACCACCTGGGAGACCAGCCCCCGGCTTTGCAGACACGCGGCTTTGCAGACACGCTTCCCCACCGCTGTGCCCAGCTCTCCGTACCTGGGAGCGGGCGAGGACGTTATCTGGGCCTGCGGTGAGGGGGTGCAGTGGTGGCTGGTGGGGTCCCTCGGGTTCACTCACTGGTTCCTGGGGACCGCACAGGCGGTGTGGACATTAAGATGCCGGCCTTGGGTGTCAGGGGAGGCGCAGGCAGGCTCTTCAGACCCACAGATGCCAGTTGCACAACGGCTGGCGGAGCCGTCCGCTTCCTCCCTTCGGACTTGCAAGATCCCGGCCGGCGGGCAGGGAGGCGGGAATGCGCTCAGAGCGGGAATCTTCCTCCGATCCCGAACCTCCCTGGGGCGCCCTGCGCACCACCCCCCTTGAGTGGCTGTGCAGCTGCTCCTCTCATTTTGCAAGGCCCCTTTGAAGCCCCACTGCCTCTCCCACCATCACGGCCTCAGGACGTTTTGTGTGTGCACGTTTCCATTCTCTCCCCGACGCTCTTCTGTATGTGAGGTTCCTGACTGTGTCATGTGGGCGAGTCTCCCATGTTCATGCACATCTCAAATTTGGTTGTTTCACTGGCTCATCTGTGTCATAGCTGTTGGGTTATTAGAGCAGCCCAAAGATTCTTGAGGTCACAGGAAAGGTTGTTTCCCCACCACCTAGGCAAGCAGTCAGGTATTTAATATGAGGTAAATTTGGGGAGTACATGCATGTCACCATTCACTTAAGTAAGATGTAGCAATGTAACTGAAGTAACTGATTCTCAAAACTGAATGATCATGTCAGTGAAATATGGAGCAGTGTAGCTGGTGGATATACAACTTCTATGTAAAGTATCAGGGGCGATCATGAGAGGGCCAGCATTGTGCACTTGGCACGTTGATGTTAAACCAGGTGTTAAGAAAGGGAAGACTGAGAAATTACTTAGGATTGTCATCTCATTTCTTCCTAGGAGATTTAGTTGCCACAGTTTGGTTTCGGAAGAGAGCTTCAGCACAATCACCTCAGCTTCAGACAGTAAGACTCCTGGCAAGAGCTTGTTGACCCTCTTACTGTACTCCTGTGTCTTAAAGTTGTGGGATTTGCCCCCCAAAATTTAATATGCCAGGTAAGGTACCCTTTTTCTAAATTACCTGCATGTCCTCCATTTCTCTGTTGAAATCTAAGAATCTGTTCTTCCATTTTCCAAAATACCTCATACACCCAATATTACCTCATGGTGTTTGGTATTCATTTTAATATAAATTCCCCTTGCCCGTGTAGTAGTAGACATTAACAATCCTGTTAATCCGATTATGTGACTTTGATTGTTATCCCACCTGTTAGAATTTAGAAGGTACGATAAAAATAATTTTTTCATTCCCTATAGTGTTGGTGAACTGGCCGTGTGACGTTCATGGCCGGGACCCTAACTTCTGGAAAGTGCAGCCTCTGAGAGATCATGGACTTTTCCCGGTAAGAGTAAGCATTATTATTATTTTTTGTTCTGTCAGCCTTTTTGGTCTATT